CCTGTGAGACTGTCTGGGCCTGATATATTTTTGAATGATGGTTCTGTGTTAACTTTCTCTATATTTTTCTATGGAAGTTGGTTGTTTATGCTATATGTCTCTACTGGGGTCAATTTTGTTTTCTTTTTTCTTTCTTCTTTTTTTTTTGGCCATGCCAGGCGGCATGCGGGATCTTCCCCGCCCCCTGCAGTGGAAGTGTGAAGTCTTAAGCACTGGCCCACCAGGGAAGGCCTGGGGTCAGTTTTGAACTGTATTTTCCCAGGCAGCTATTCATTTCATCTACATTTTGAAATTTATTTGCCCAAAGATGTGTAAAGTTACTTGGATTTAAAAAAAAAAATTTCTTCTCTAATAGTTATTTCCCCTTTACCATGTTTTACTTTGTATACTTATGCAAGTGTACAATATTTTTTATGTCTTTTTCCTTAATTAGGTTAGTTACTAGCATGTATATTTTACTTCTTTTAAAGAAGCAGGGTTTTACCTTTTTATTATAGTCTGGTGGTTTCTGTTCTCCACCTCATCAACCTCTCCTTTTCTCTTTGTCGTTTCTCTCCTTGTGCCTCCTGTATTCTTTTTCTAGCATTTTGAGTTGGGAATACAATTCACTTATCTTTATTACTTTGTATTGAGTGTTTTTATGTCTGAATTTTTCTCTGATTTAAGCACATTGTTAGGTTCTGATATGTAGTAATTTCACTTTCATTTTTATGAAGAAATTCTATGACTTGAGTTTGTATTTCCCCTTTTACCCAAGTGTGGTTTAGTAGAAGTTTCTAAAATTTGTAGGTGGAAGCAATTTTTCGTATTTTGACCACATTATTAAGTTTGTTTTATTGCGCTGTGATCAGAGTGTTGCTTGTACTGTTTCTACTTTATAGTACTTTTCGACTTCTTGTTGCCCAGCATGGTTGTTCAGTTCATGCTACACATGCACCTGAGTAGTGGATGTGCTGTTGCTGTGTGGTATAACTGTGTGGTAGGAAGGCTGCTGTGTCCACCTGGGCCACGAGCGGGTGCTGCCACTGGTTGGATGTACGGCTACAGTGCGCCTTAATTGTCCCAGTGACCCTCGCCTCCCGGTACCCCAGCGTGCACACCATGGAGCGGGAGGTCTCCTGGGAGCTTCCTTCGGTGGTGGTGCCAGGGCGCCTCTCTGCTCTCAGGGTAAGCTTGGTGTCCAGCTCCTCTGCTCTAGGGTAAGCTTGGTGTCCAGCTCCTCTCTGGAGCCGCCTCTGCTCAGGCAAAGCCCTGGGTTACGGAGGAGGATCTCCAGGGCCCTGGTTGTATCATTGGTGTGTTTCTTGATGCCAGCTGCAGGCTTTCCGCATCACTGCTTATTCTAGTCGTGATTCAGATTCCGATCACAATTCAGAGTGCAGTGGCACTGATCCCTGCACTTGGGAGGTGGCAGTGGCATCCAGGCTAAGTGAAGACTGAATGGCCGGCCACTGGGCCTTCCGGCTGGTGACAGTTTTCTAAGCCCGCATCCCCAGCTCACTGGCCACTAGTTTTCTGAGGCTGCTCTTGCCAGCCTCGGCCTTGCCCTGGACCCTTGACCATCTCAGGTTTGGTGACACCTCATCATTTCTTTTTCTGGTCGCATATTACTTTCACACTTTCTCAGCCATGTTCTGTCCAGAATAAGGCCGGGCCTTTGCCCGTCCTGCCCTCTGTCTTCAGAGTTGCCATAGCAACTCACCATAAGGAAAGCTGCTCACGCTTCAGCTCTTCAGTGAGTTACTCCCTTTCCAAGCTCAAGTCCAAACCCTCTAATGCAGCACGCTGAGCTCTGCATCACGGGACCCTTCTGACGTGTCGCCAGTTCCTGATGACACCTCAGCCACGTCCACTCATGTGTGGTTCCTCACACACGCCAGGGTCTTTCCACCTCTGTGCTTTACACTTACTGTTCCCTTTATTTCTTCTCATACACCCCTTTCCCTCCGTTTGGCTCACTCGCTTGTCCTTTGCTTTTAAGTCTTAACGAGAAGCTTCTGCCGAGTCCTAAGGGTTCAGGTTCGGGTTCTGGTTAGCTCTGTAGGCTTAGGGTTAGGGTTAGGGTATGGGTTAGGGTTAGGGTACACGTTAGGGTTAGCTCTGTAGGGTTAGGGTACGGGTTAGCTCTGTAGGGTTAGGGTTAGGGTACAGGTTAGGTTATGGGTTAGGGTTAGGGCATGAGTTAGGGTTAGGGTATGGGTTAGGGTTAGGGTACACGTTAGGGTTAGCTCTGTAGTGCAGGCTGACTCCTCTCTCAGGAACACAGAGTGCATTCCCTGCAGGATGATGGTCTGTGCTTCTCTGCTTGTCTGTCCGCGTCTTGATAGTCCTCTGCGTGACACACAGTGGTTGCTCTTGGCACATCGTCTCGCTTCGAGGGTGGGTAGGGCCATCGGGTGGGGATGATGAGATCAACCCTGGCTAAGTTTCCCATGTCCTCCTGTCTCACTCCAGAGGAGAATCAGGAAGTGTTCCCAGTCACTCTGTCCTACACCTTGCCCAACTCACTGGTGTATGGAGTCGACTGGTCCTGGCTCTACTTCCGCCGCTTGCCGCAGACCCATCCGTCATTCTGCTTGGGGTCCTCTCCTGGCAGCGACCCAGGAGCCAAAACAGCAGACCCAGTCTATACCCTCAAAGTTGCGGCCCAGTCACCAGCACCCTGTTTTGAGCGTCTAGCTGATGCTGATGGAGAGGGTGGTACCAAACACCAGAGTGGAGGCAAGCTGAAGAGTCCTCTCCAGCCCTTTGCAGAGGAGAAGAGCGGCGGCCGGCTGCATGCCTCGGGGGTCGAGATCTGTGACTGTGACCAGTACCTGGAGGCAGCCACCTCTGACGCCAGCCTTCTAGCTACTTGCTCCTTTTATGATCATGTTCTTCACCTCTGGAAGTGGGAGAACAGCTGAGCTAGGGAAGTTACTTGGTTTGACATCGTAAAGACCATTTCCACCAATAAAACCAAGAGTATGTCTACCTTTTCTGAGAATGAAGTATCCTCAGACCATCTCACTGACATTCTGGCTGCATGCAGGTTTTCTGTATAGGGCTCAGTGCATCTCATGGAATCTCCAGGTAGGCAGTCAGAAAAGCTGTTGGCCTCTTAAATAAGCCTTATCTGCTGGGGCCCTTCAAAATGGTGATTCTGTGGCAGCAGGGGGCAGGGTGTGGGTGGGGCATGGTTCCCAGCTCTGTCTTGTCAGTTTCCTGTGTTTCTGACTTTCAGTTCTTCATACTTATTTAAGCAACTGTTTGTATTAACTAAAAGGAGTGGCTTTGTTTTTTTAAGCTACTTTAAAACACCAGAAGTAGTTTTATATGAACATTAAAAAAGCTCATGTCATGGCACCAGAAGTGCTTGTATAGCCTCCTGTGCAGAGAAGCAAAAGGAAGTGTATACACGTTCTGAGTTGCTTTAGCATGTCATAAACTTGAAATACGTTGTCATATGCTGAATTAGTCATACTTCCTCACTGCGGCTTCAGTAAACCAAGTAGCTTCCAAACCTGGACACGGTTTAACTCCAGAAACATAACTGGGTTTGTGACTGATCTGACTCCCATAGATCAGTTCCTCCTTGTCTCTCTGGAAGGAACAGATGTTGAAGTATAGGCCACTGTGGAATTTGTCAGCTCCTCAGCATCCACTAATAAATACAACAGATATGTGTTCCGAGTTAGAAAACACAAGCCTCTATCCTTTGCTTTCTTATTTTCTGACGGTACAACACTGTGTGCCAGTACAGGTCAGAATGTGTTAATGTTGAACCCTCCTCCAGAGTTTATTTTAGGATATTTCACTTAAGGGTCAGTTAAATATGAAACAGAATTAGAATCTGAGGGATTATGCACTGAAACAGGAAAACACAAGGAGGAAGGAGACTATAGATTACTAGGGAAATACGAGTTTGGCATCAACTTCCTGTGTGGCCTTATCTTTAGGTTTACCCCAAGGGGGGCTGTCTCACCTGACTCCCCAAAATAAGCTGCTTTGGAACCCATAAGTATTCTCATTGGTGGTTCCTTGCGGTGAATTTTGGGGGATGAATTAACCAGTGCTGTCATGTGGCTGGATCTGCCTTGTGAATTCTCTTTCTCCTGCAAGCTAAGCCACGTGTTCTTGCCTACTTCGCAGAACCTGTTGGTTGGGGTTCTGGTTTGGCTGGAACCTCAGAACGTCGCCTCGGTCACTACGCCCTAGCCTGTTACGTGTCACACTTTCCTTTTCAAAATGACCAGCTGCCCCGAACAACACTGTAGGGTAGCCAAGGTCTTTAATAGAAGCTAAACGAGGGCAACGCCTCCCCACCCGCCACCCGGGAGCTAGGCTCAGCGAGGAGGATAGGTCGAAGTCCTCAGTCGCAGGCACACCCGACCGCCGCCGACTGCTCCTAGCGCGGGAAGTTCTTGGGGTACAGCTGGAAGAGCTTGCCTTCCTGCGTGGGCTCAAAGCCGTACTTGTCCAGGCGCTCAGGGTCGAAAGTCCCGGCCTTGAAGTCCTTCTCGATAGCAGGTGCCGCTGTCTCCAGAAAGAGCTGCTTGGCCGTCAGGGGAACGTCTGTGCCCTCCGGGGCGCGGTAGTTCACGTACGGCTTGAGCTTGAAGCCGGCCAGATCGGGGACCACCAGCTCCGGGACCATTTCCTTGACCTGCACGAACTTGCCGTCGCGGCCCCGGAAGCCGATGCCCTTGGCGCCGCGGCTCTTGTAGAAGGTGCGCGGGCCCCGCTTGCTGGTCCACTTGCTCATTCGGTCGGCGCCCCGCACCAGGGCGCGAGCCGCCCCGCTCAGGAGGCCCATGCCGGGGCCCGAACGACGCGAACGCCCTCCGACTCCCGCGCACAGCCACGCGAACCCCGGCAACCCAGCGCTCTGCTTCCGGCGACCACTGCAGCTTCCGACACCCCCTGGGCCCCCGCGCCAGAGCAAGAGCAGCTCCGATTGGCTGCGACGCGTCCAATGTGCAGCCTTGGCCCTGCGGGGGGGCGGGACCTGTGGGGGCATGGCCAATGCTCGGGGAGATCCCGCGTCCGGGCGGGCCGTCAGGAGCGCGGCCGTGGGGGGCGGAGCTTCGAGGCGCAGGGCCGGACGCCGTGAGTGCGGACGTTAGGGGCGGGGCTTCGGGAGGAGCGACGGGAGTGCCGGGTGTCGGGGGCGGGGCGTCAGGATGGAGTGACGGGAGCGCGGGCGTCGGGAGCGCGCGATCCTGGTGAGTCGCCGCCGAGCGCCCCGAAGTGGCAGACCTGGGGGTCCGGTTCTGTGAGCAGAGGTAGCCATCCCCTCCCCCATGCATCGTCGGGACGTACACTGCCCCACAGGGCTGTCGCCGGCGACGCACCTCAACCCAACTGCCCCCAACCGGACGCCTCCCAACCTTACTGCCTCCAGCCCCGACTGACCTCAACCCAACGCCCCTCAGCTCGACGCCCCCCAACCCGACTGCCCTCAACCCCGACTGCCCCCAACCCCGATGCCCCTGCAGCTGAACGCCCCCCAACCTGACTGCCCTCAACCCGACGGCCCCATAATCACTGCTCTCCAGCCCTGCGCCCTAACTTCCACGCCCCCCTAACCACCATCTTCCTAACCTCGATGACCCCAACCGCGCCGCCCCCGGCCCCCCAGTTCTCCTGCGCTCTGTCTCCTTCCCTCCCGTCCCCTGCGCTGTGGAGCACGTGCAGCAGCTGAAGGCGGTTTGGTTGTGTGGCAGGTGCTGGGGCCTTGAGCTCTGTCGCCTGTAAGCCTGGGAGGCGTGGGGAGACCGCCCTGGTCAGGGCTGGGCCGCAGAGCTCGGGTCAAGGCGTTGCTGGTCCTTGAGGAGACATCTGAGAAGAAAGGGTTTCCTACGGGGCCGGCAGGGACCTTTGACCAGTGAGCAGATGCAGGTGACCCTGCACCTACCTTCTGCTCCCTGACTTCTCCCGGTGGGATTTCGGAAGAGACAACCCTCTCTTACTGTTGCCCTTCCAAGGGACCTGGGAGCCACAGGGTGAAGGCCCTAGACGGGGCTCCTCCCTGCGGCACAGAGGCCATGTGAGCAGAGCTGGTCCTCAAGTTCACCACACCCCAGACCAACACACCCACCTCCAGGGCTCAGCCGCACTGCGGGGGAAATCCTGTGCACAGGCCACTAGGGAGGGTCTGGCTCACAGCCTGTAGTGGCCACGCACCCCTCCGCAGGTGCTGGAAATCCCTGCTGCACTAGGCCTTTGCCTGGCTGCCCACACTGGCCCTTGACTGGCTGGGAGAGGAGCCCGGGACTTGGCTGCAGTTCTAGGTTCCTGGGCAGCCACGCGAGGGCTATTTACAGAGAGGGAAGGGGCTCCGATTGCTTGTGAAAAGAGCTTCTCTCCATGGAGAACACAGTTTTTCATCAGGGTTTTCCTGTCAATAGAAACATAATTTAACGTGGACAGGAACCTGGGGAAGGGCTGGGAGACACTGCTTTGCACGTGAGCGTGAGGTGGTGGAACGTGTGCCCTCCTTGGAACCAGTCTCTCTTCTTTTGTTTCACTTTTAGCCATGGAGCAAGAGGGGGACGCCGGCCCAGAGGTGCAGAACCTGAGGATTCCAGTGAGGAATCAGCCTTAAAATTCCCAGTTATGGCCACTTCAGGACAAGGAGAAAGGGTCCTTTTAACATCTGCCCCGCAGCAACTCCTTGAAGCCTGCTGCATGTGGGGGTGGTGTGTGGGGCCTGTTTTCCCCTTGTCAGGGCTGAGGCCCTCCCTCCTCTTCCCCAAGGTCACTCTTGTGAGTTCCTGCTTCCCCTTAGGAAGTCTGCTTGCTTTGTCTTAGGGCCTTTTACCCGTGGAACATATATAGCCACATTACAAGGGCCTTTATCTCTAAACCAGAAATGTAGATGCATTAAAACCGTGAAAAGCTGGAAAGTCTGAGATGCCTAACCACAAGAGACTGTATAAATAGGCCTGGGGCGTCCCCGTGACCCTTCCTGTGGACAGCCCTAGCTGCCCCCCAGGGGGTGGCTGAGCTCGGAGAGACACACTTAGGAGGAGGGTGCTCATCTGCTGCCTGGTGGATGTCGTCTTTAGCCAAGCACGCAGTCTGGGCCGGGGGGCCTGGACGCCTCACTGTGAAGCAGAAGCTCCCACTGCTTCCATCTGCCTCCTGAGCTGAGTTCAAAGGGTTGAGCTTTCTGAATCACTTCCTTATTCTGTCTCGATGTGACATTCTGCTTTTGAAATGCTTTTCTGAGCGCATTGATTTCCTTGGGTTTTCTGGCATCGATGCTGTGTGTGATCCTGGCTCTGAAGGATCAGGCAAGCTGCTTTAGTCCTTGGCACTTGTGTAGAAACTTGAAAGGATTAACAAGTCCCCCCACCACTCCCCCAAAGCCATCCTGTTCCTGGCTGCTTGGAAGGAGGTATGTGGGTACCAGGAGGAATGGAGCGTAGCTACTTGTTTGGCTGGTTTCTTCAGCTTTGGGGGGAATCTGCCAGCATCCTGTGTATGGGCGGCCCCAGCCGTCTGCCCACTCACCATTCCACACTCACTGTTCTCTCTTTTTTAAAATTAATTAATTTATTTTTGGCTGCGTTGGGTCTTCATTGCTGTGCCCGGGCTTTCTCTAGTTGCGGCGAGCAGGGGCTACTCTTTGTTGCGGTGCACGGGATTCTCATTGTGGTGGTTTCTCTTGTTGCGGAGCACAGGCTCTATGCGTGCGGGCTTCAGTAGTTGTGGCACGTGGGCTAAGTAGTTGTGACTCGCAGGCTTCAGTAGTTGTGGCACACGGGCTTAGTAGTTGTGGCTCACGGGCTCTAGAGCGCAGGCTCAGTAGCTGTGGTGCACGAGCTTAGTCGCTCTGCAGCATGTAGGATCTTCCCGGACCAGGGCTCAAACCCGTGTCCCCTGCACTGGCAGGCAGGTTCTTAACCACTGCACTACCAGGGAAGTCCCTCACTGTTCTCTCTTACCTTCCTTTCTCTCTCCCTGGGGTCTGGGCTTCTGAAGCCCCTTGTTAACTCCCCCCCTGGGAGCCCTTCTCTGCTGTGAGCTGGTATTTAATGCTCTCAAAATCCAGTTGACTCCTTAGGGTTTCCCAGCACTGCTGCTGTGTGGGCTTCTGTCTGCCCCGAGGCCAGCAGCACGTGGTTCTGTTGGTGACGAGAGGGCACTGAGAGGTGGCCTTTGTACCCACTGTGGCCAGCCGGGCTTGCTCCTCTGGATTTGCATCCTGAGGAGCAGGAAAGCTGAGGATTTAGGATTCAGATGCGTTAATGATGCCTGGAGCATTTGTTGTCAACACAGCACAGCTGCTGGCCCTGCCCAGCCATGCTGTGGGTGGCGCTGCACCAGAGCAAGTGGGCTCAGGGGACCTCAGCGTCCTGGAAGGTCGCTTCTTTCTGGAGGTCTCCAGGGCTGCTGACTTGTCCCTGACCCACAGCTCTGTTGTTACTCCCTGGGGAGCCAGGGCCGTGCCCATCCTGGCCCTTCCCGACTGCAGACTTCCCCCCTAGGCGTGCTTCTACCTGGCCACCCTTCGGTCCTGGGGTCTGCAGCTGACGGAGCAGCGTTCCCAGTCCACCAGGTGACCACCTCACTGCCCCCGGCTAATGGGCGGGCCCCAGAATCAGTGGCCTATTGCACCCTTGGCTGCCCTGGGTCCTTTGTGTCCAGCCTGTGTCTGGGCTTGGGAGGGGCCTCATGGCACCTTGCTGACGGGTGCTCTATCTGTGACCTCACCCAGCTGGTGGTTGTTGCAACTGAAATCCTCCTGGCCCTGGCCCTGGACCTTATCGGCATGACCATCTTTTTTTTTTTTTTTTTTTTTTTTTTTTTTGCTGTACGCGGGCCTCTCACTGTTGTGGCCTCTCCCGTTGCGGAGCACAGGCTCCCGACGCGCAGGCTTAGCGGCCATGGCTCACAGGCCTAGCTGCTCCGCGGCATGTGGGATCTTCCCGGACCAGGGCACGAACCCGTGTCCCCTGCATCGGCAGGCGGACTCTCAACCACTGTGCCACCAGGGAAGCCCGATGACCATTTTTTGTGTATAGAAGTGTTAACTGATTCCGTGAGTATCTTGCTTCAGACTTTAGCCCTAGGGGGACCGGGAGGAGGGCTTGAAAGGGTGGGGGAGGCCCGGGTGGTGGCTTTTGTTGGAAACTGCTGGCCTGTCCACGAGGCTGAGCTCATCGGATCCATGCAATTCGAGTCTGTTCTGAACTTCCTTGGCTCATGTTTCCAAGAAGAGTGAAGTCCCGCTTCCTCTGCAAGGGTCTGTCGCAGCCCTGGGACGAGGTGCTGTGTGACTGGGGGCGGGGCAGGGGGCGGGGCCAGGCAGGGGCAGGACAGCTTAGTGTGTACACGTGGCCGCCTCGCGGGTCCCAGCCGTGCTCAGGCAGCCCCTTGGCTCCCCTTGCAGGACAAGGGCAGCCCACTCCTCAGTACAGGTTCCGGAAGAGAGACAAAGCGATGCTATACGGCAGGAATATCATGAGGAAGGTAGCTCGCGCTGCAGGCCCAGGCCTCCTCCCCCTCAGAGGTGTCGGCACCGCAGGCCTATGCCTGGGGGCTGTGCAGCGGCTCTGGGGCTCGGGGAGGGTCTGGGGAGGGCATGGCTGGGCGGAAGCATTTGGGGAGGAGGCCCCGTCACCCCGTGAGGTGGACATGAACTGGAAGGGAGGACAGAAGCCCCCCGCCCGGAGCATCCCTGACGTGTGGCGGGTGGAGGGTCCTGGCTCTGGTGCTGAGATTGCTGGTCCAACCAGGATTTGGGGCCAGGCTCCGCGAGGGGGAAACTGCAAGGCCTCGCTTGCCAGTGTCAAGACCCACCTTGGGAGGAGCAGCCGCGTCCAGCCCGTCCAGCAGCCGGGCCCCCTGCGCCCTTCTCCGCCTGAGGGCAGGAGGTCTCAGCAGACTGCCTGAGGCTGCCTGTGCTTCAAATGCACGCTTGAAGCATTTGCTGGTATTTAAAAATATCTTCTCTTTGTTACTTTCCACGAGTTACACAATCGATTCGTGTTCTTCGTGGGTAAGCTTGAGCTGTCGATGGGGAGTCACGTGGGTGTCCTCACGTGGCTCTTCCTCCTCAGTGTCAGGCGCTGTGGGAGGCCGGTCGGTTGGGGCTGCTCTGTCTGGCGGGCGGGCGCGCAGGGACAGTGGGCGGGCCCCCCGCAGGCTCGTGCAGGGCCACATGGAGTGACTCCCTGCAGGTCTCAAAGGCACTCAGGCGTGTGTGGTTGGGTGGGGGGCTGTCCCCTGGTGACCCTGCCGAGGACTGGGCAGCGGCAAGCTGGACCTGGGCTAAGGACAGGAACGTGGTCCAATGAGGCCAGGACGCCTGGGAGGGAAGGAGGGGTTGTGGTGACCGCCCACCGACAACCACAGCTGGCACCGTGGGGCAGATGCAGCTCGGGAGCTAGGGGACAGCAGGGGGCAGTGGCTGCCCGAAGAGGCTGGCTGGTGCCTGGCTAGGAGCCAGGCCCTCCGCGCTCCCCGGTGCTGCTGTTTGGGGCAGTCCGGTGGGCCTCGACTGTGGGGGAGGGTGAAGAGCCTTCCAGACTGGGAGGACGGTGCAGGCACTCGGGTTGTCGTGTGTGCCAGCGTGACAGGTGTGGGGTGGAGAGCGTCAGCCTTCTAGGCAGAGAGGACGCAGGGCTGAGGACTCAGAGCTCTCAGAGCATGGGCTGTCTGGGGACATGGCCACGCGGTATCGCTATCATCAGCGCCAAGGATGGTTCCCTGTGTGCTGGGCAGGTGAGCAGGGTGGGGCCGGGCCGGGATGCTGGTGTCGGGCTGCGGGCAGGCCAGGTCCTGAGGGCTGGGACCGACCCTGAGGCTGAGAGCTGGATCCACCGGCTGCAGGGTCCAGACGCGGCCTCCCCCTTTCTCTCTGCAGGTGACCACACTCCCCCACGCGCTTGTGGGGAACACAGCTGCCCCCCGGCAGCAGGCGAGGAAGAGGACCAAGGTGCTATCTTTGGCCAAGAGGTACTGGGGGTGCCCTTCAGACTAGGCACGTCTCAGCTGCCTTCCCCAGTGGGCGCTGGGGAGGCCGCGGACGTTGCGCCGCCCGTGGCTTCCCTGCCATGGAGTTCACAGCGCAAACGCCATCTGCGTTTGAACCCCTTTGGGCTTCTGCTCCAGGTGCACGTCTCTCTGCTTTGTAGCATCCTGCGTTTCAAGCAGGAATACCCCACCCTGCAGCCAAAGGAGCCCCCGCCCTCCCTGCTGGAGGCCGACCTCAAGGAGTTCGATGTGAAGAATTCTCACCTGCCGTCAGAAGTCTTGTACATGCTGAAAAATGTTCGGTAAGAGAGAAGTGGACACGGGAGGCCCGCCATGTGCCTGCGGCTGTGCTCCGGGGACTGGCTGTCACCTGGCCTCCGAGGTGTCCTTTCTCTGTGGCCACCGTTGGTTGTGTCGACAAAAATAATGAATAAACAACCTATAATAGGAATAAGAAGAGTTTTATTTGAGCCAAACTGAGGACTATAGCCTGGAAGACAACCTCTCAGATAACTCTGAGGAACTTCCCCAGAGAAGCATAGTTTTTGGCAGTTTTATGTCTTGTCAGAACAAAGAACATTAAGCTAGTCAGGGATACATTCCTTCAAGGTTTCAAAAAAAACAGATAGCAGGTACATGGTGAGTCAGTATGGCCTCGGCACCTGGGAAGGGAGTCTTAGCATTGAAGGAGAACGAGCATTGGCACCCTAGAAAGGGAGGCATTTAATCTTTATTTTTTACGTGGACGTTTTGTTGTTCTTGTTGTTTAATATTTATCTATTTAATTTATTTGTTTTTGGCTGCGTTGGGTCTTTGTTGCTGCGCGCGGGCTTTCTCTAGTTGCGGTGAGCGGGGGCTGCTCTTCACTGCAGTGCGCAGGCTTCTCATTGCGGTGGCTTCTCTTGTTGCAGAACACAGGCTCTAGGCACACGGGCTTCAGTAGTTGTGGCACACAGGCTCAGTAGTTGTGGCACACAGGCTCAGTAGTTGTGGCTCGCTGGCTCTAGAGCGCAGGCTCAGTAGTTGTGGCGCAGGGGCTTAGTTGCTCCGAGGCATGTGGGATCTTCCCGGACCAGGGCTCGAACCCGAGTCCGTGTCGCCTGCATCGGCAGGCGGACTCTCAACCACTGTGCCACCAGGGAAGCCCCGGACGTTCTTTACTTCTGGCCGATGTGCCCTTTAATAATTCAGCAGACGTACAATATGTGTTTGATCAGCCGCAACAGGCTATTCTATCTAGTGAGCGTGAAGTGGGAGTTAACTCACGTGTAAGCCAGAATGCCCGCCCCCGACCCCAACATGTGAACACTGCTTTCATCAGTTGGGAAGTCTTCTTGCCATCGCCGCCCTCCCAGTGGTGAGTGGAGCCTCCTCGCCGGTTCTTTCGTGTGTCTGTCTGCTTATCAGAGTGTTCACCTTCAGGGCGACACGGAGCGAGTATGGGAAGCGTGTGGCTGGATGGAAAATTGCAAGTCTGGTTCCCCGTTTCTCCCTGGAAGCCCCGACTCCTCTGTCCAGCGCTTCACTACCTGCCCTCGTTTATGCATCTGGTTCAAATTCACGCTCACGGCCTGAGAGTTCTCTGAGCTCATGGAACGGTAGCTGATGGAAATGCCTGCAGCTTAGGCTTCTGTCCTGCTGGTGCCTGTGCTGTGGGCTCTGCAGCTCTTGAAAGCTCGCTCTGTGGTCTGGCCGGCAGGGCTGTGGCCTGCGCCCCTTCTCCCCTCCTTCCTGCGGGTGTCCCATGTGCACTGTTTCTTAGAGGGTCCTGGGTCACTTTGAGAAGCCACTTTTCCTGGAACTTTGCAAACACATGGTGTTTGTGTAGCTTCTGGACGGGGAGTACGTCTTCCGGCCAGGGGAGCCAGATACCAGCATCTATGTGGTGCAGGACGGGCGGCTGGAGGTCTGCATCCAGGATTCGGTGAGAGCCCTTGGGTGGGGCAGGGCTGGGGTCTGTTGTGTTTTCACTTAGAGGTTTGCCCCCTTTAACATTTGTTAAGTTTTCCATTGAAAAGTTAGTACCAATTTTTATTTTATTATATTTTATTTTATGTAGATAGGAGATTCATATTTTATTTCTCCAGTGGCACTTTTACAGTTGAATATAAATTAAAGGCCTGCTTGCCCACCAAAGCCAGGTTCTTTAGGTGGTTCAGTCAAAGAGGTAAGACCTCTGGCTGTGGCTCCCATGAGAAGCGTCCACTCCTTAGCCCAGGTCTTGGGATTTTGCCAGCCTTGAGTTCATCAATAATTTCTTCAGTATCCTTAGGTGTCAGATCCTCATAGTAGTTGTCATTTCTTTGAACCATTGGTGCATTTACACAGGCCCCTAAATATTCCATTTCTATAAGAGTGAAAAGTTTGTCAAGTGTAGTCTCCCTGACCTTTATTCCAAGCTTTTTCTGAGTGGCCTCCAGTATGCTGTCAGAGTTTCAAAGCATGCAAGGATAGTAGTGCAAACTTGAATATGATTCTTTCCAACCGCTTTTTGATTATACATTGTATAAAAAGCTGCTTCTTCATATATTCTCATTGGAGGTGCTTGTAACTTTCTGCAGCCTTGTTCATAGCAGAGATGGGCAGCCATCCATTCTGCCTTTGGGCTAAATCCAGGACTGGAAGTACAGCTGCTGCTTTGTGCCCTTATGGGGAGTTTTTTTACAGCTGCCTCTATCCTCTTGTACTCTTCCAGTGTGAAATCAAGTGGAGTATCTGGGTTATTCTCAGGAGTGTCTCTGTGCACAGATAAGCCTCCTCCAGCTCCATTTTGCACCACCGTCTTATGCAAATTTCCTTGTATGTCTTCCCCCCTGAGCAGCGAGGCCACCTGTGTAGGCTAGCACGCCGCGGAGAGAAACATGGTGAGCCAAACTATGGGCCTTCGGAGTGCAAAATTTAAATTTTTTGTTCTTTGGAGGAAAAGGCACATTGGACCACAGCTGCCCTTGACGCAGGTGTGTCAGCTTCTGCTGTACAGGGGCTGTGCATGGTGGCTCACCTCTGCATTTCCCCAGACACATTGCAAGCACTTTTTAAAAATTAATTAATTAATTAATTTATTTATTTTTGGCTGTGTTGGATCTTCGTTGCTGTGCGTGGGCTTTCTCTAGTTGCAGCGAGCAGGGGCTACTCTTTGTTGCGGTGCGCGGGCTTCTCATTGCTGTGGATTCTCTTGTTGCAGAGCACAGGCTCTAGGTGCGCAGGGTTCAGTAGTTGTGGCTCGCGGACTCTAGAGCGGAGGCTCAGTAGTTGTGGCGCACGGGCTTCGTTGCTCCGTGGCATGTGGGATCTTCCCGGACCAGGGCTCGAACCTGTGTCCCCGGCGTTGGCAGGCGGACTCTCAACCACTGCGCCACCAGGGAAGCCCACATCACAAGCATCTTGCCGTGTCTCTCCCACTGCCTTGGAACCCCTCAGTGGTTGGGTATTGATCTATGATGATCATTAGCACCCTTGCCTTATTTTTGGGTTTCAGGCTGTGAATAGTTTTAACTCTAAGAAAATAATTCAGCTGGAAGCTACCTCTTTGTTTCCTGCCACTGTTGACTTATATGCTTGAGTCACAGTTGCCAGGGGCACCTATAGACCCGGACTCCTGAGGGCTTGTGGGTTTATTTGCCTGCTGGTGGGTGACGCAGCCTCCCGCCGCAGACACAGTGAACCCTGGACTGCACGAGGTCGCCCCCACCCCGGCCACGTGAAGTTCCCGCCTGCCGGGCCCTGGGTGGGCCCTGACCTCGCACAGCTCCTGCATGGTCTTCGGGCTGCTAGACCACAGTGTCGTCAGGGTACAGGTCTCACGTGTGTCGCTTTGTCTGCGGGTGACCTGGTGGGACAATTAGAAAAGGCGTGGCTTTCGTCCAGTCTCCTCGGGGCGGGGCCTCCATGTCATCCACCTGGCAGGCCTTCACCAAGAGGGCCGGAGCCTTTGGGCCAGATGGAAGGGCTCCTGGACAGTGAGACCAGTGCCAGGTTTGAAGAAGTTCACAGCGGTTCCCTGGGTCACACTGCGGTGAAGTTCCTATACTAAATCACCAGCATCACATGGTTTTCTTTTTCTTTTAATCCAGTGGAAAAATATGTCAAAATACTATTGTTTATACTGGTGGCTAGGGTTTGCATTTCCCTAACGACTAAAGATGTCGAGCACCTTTTCATGTTTTCATTGGCCTGTTGTGAACCTTTTTCATTTGATGTAGAAATGATCACTTTCAAAAGCTTTGATTTAGAGCTATTGTTAATTTGTAATTGTGATAATTGTATCATTGTTGTGATATTGTAGAGATACGACTTCAACTATTAATGGATAAAATGCTATGTTTGGGATTGTCTTCAAAATTTTGGGGGTATGTGTGTGAAATAAGATGGGTGGAGCTGGGTGATGGGAAGGGGGGGTCCACTGTATTCTTCTCTCTACTTTCGTGTATCTTTGAAATTTTCCATAATAAAATGTGGTTTGTAAAATTAGCTCCAGTTGGGCTTCCCTGGTGGCGCAGTGGTTGAGAGTCCACCTGCCGATGCAGGGGACACGGGTTCGTGCCCCAGTCCGGGAAGATCCCACATGCCGTGGAACGGCTGGGCCCGTGAGCCATGGCCGCCGGGCCTGCGCGTCCGGAGCCTGTTGCTCCGCAACGGGAGAGGCCACAACAGTGAGAGGCCCGCGTACCGCAAAAAACAAACAAACAAAATTAGCTCCAGTTAATAGTTTGTTGCTAGATTAGTTGTATATAAACCAGACTTCTTTTCAGCTTCTGTTTTGGACCACTCTGCTCAAACTACGTCTTGTCTCACGTCCTAAAATTTGGACAGTTTCACTTGCATCTTCCATGGGTCTTTGACACCAGAGTCCTGGGGGTAAGAGAGGGTCTCCAAGTTAGCTTGCAGGTGGAGGGCTGGCTGGCAGGGGCTGGGGACACCGGTTGCTGTAGCACGAGGTCTCAGGGCCTGCTCTTTGCGTAGTCAGCCCAGAGCTGTCGGCTGTAGATGGCCAGGAAGTAGCCGGCGGCTGAGGCTTGCAGAGGCGGCGCCTGGTGTCGGAATCACCTCATCACTGCTTTCACCTTGCTCTCCGAGATACTTAGGGTTACTGAAGCTGACAGCGGCTTCTCTTTTCGAAAGTGATGCGTACTGCATGCAAGAGCCACAGAAGCAGGCTTCCTGTACAGTACATCCTCTCCCATCTTGCGAACTTTAGCAAATTAAAAAACTTTTAACTCACTTTACTCATGCAAAAGCCCTTAAAAGTAAATTACAGGTATTTTGACATTCCAACCTTAGATACTTGAGTCTGCAACTCTAAAAATTTAGAATATTAACCAAAATAGCATTATTATATTTAAAAGGTAATTCTTCCTGGATATCATGTAAAGCAGCCCATGTCCAGCGGGCCAGGCACTCAGCATCACGTGATGACCCTCGGCTCTGGGGAAGGCCCTCGTGGCCTGCCTGCGGGCAGTCGTGGCTTCCCGGTGCTGCCCCGTGTTTTCCGCCTGGGGATGAGAGGAGATGCCGTCCCGGGCAAGGTCCCAGGCCACGTGCCCCGCACCTGCCTGCGACCAGACAGCAGCCACATCACCTTCCACTGCTTAGAGTGGTTTACAGCCACGGCAGTCTTGACACCGTGGGTCTGAGGCAGCGGCCCCCAACCTTTCTGGTACCAGGGACTGGTTTCGTGGAAGGCAATTTTTGCATGGACTGGGGAGTTTTGGGGGGATGGTTCAGGCGGTAATGCGAGCACGGGGAGCGGCAGATGAAGCTTCACTTGCGCTAGCCCGCCGCTCATCTGCTGCTGTGTGGCCTGGCTCCTAACAGGCTGCGGACCGCTACTGGTCCGGGGGCTGGGGACCCCTGGTCTAAGGTGCTTGCTTGGCGTCATGGTTTAAAGTGTGTGGTTGAGGTCTCTGTTCTTCCTCTGCCCCCAGGTTGTGACTCGCTGATTCACCTCTTGGGCGAGAAGATCCTGGTCAGCCTCCAGCAGGGAACTGCAACAGCTGGGTGCCTGGGCCTGCAACCTGGGAGCCCCGCCCACCCCACTCAGAGCCCCGCCCAGAGCCTCTACTTAGGTTGAAACCCCCCTCACAGTGTTAGAACTTTTGCTTTCAGCCGTCAAACACGTTTAAAACTATTCCCTCATCCCGGTGTTCCAAGCTTCCTCCTGGTATCATTTTCCTTCTGTCTGAAGACGTTCCTTTAATAATAGTCCTTTTAGCGCAGGTCTGCTGGCTACAGATTCTCTTAATTTTCCTTCATCTAAGACTGTCTTTACTTCACCTTCGTCCTGAAGGATACTTTTTGCTGGATGTGCAATTCTGGCTTGACAGTCCTTTTATTTCAGCACTTTAAACATTTTGTACCACTTCCTTCTGGTCTTCGTTGCTTCTAATGAGAAATCCAGACATTCACATTGTTCCCAAGTAGGTAGCGCATCATTTCTGTCTGGCTGTATTCGGGATTTTCCTTTGCCTTTACTGTTTGGAAATTTGATTTTGGAGTGCTTGGCGTGAATTTCTTTGGGTTTATCTTGTTTGGGGTTCGCTCATCTTGAATCTGTAAGTATATATATATATTTTAACTAAATTTGGAAAGGTTTCATCCTTTATTTCTTCAGATAGTCTCTCAGCCCTGTATTCTTTCTCCTCTTCTGGAAATTCACAGAAGCAAACGTTAGACCTTTTGTTATTGTCCCAGTGTCTCTGGGACACTGTTTGTTTTTTAATCTTTTTTCTCCATCTGATGTTCAGATTGAGTACTTTCTTTTTTTTTTTTTTGCGGTACGCGGGCCTCTCAGTGTTGTGGCCTCTCCCATTGCGGAGCAACAGGCTCCGGAAGCGCAGGCTCAGCGGCCATGGCTCATGGGCCCAGCCGCTCCGCGGCATGTGGGATCTTCCTGGACTGTGGCAGGAACCCGTGTCCCCTGCATCGGCAGGCGGACTCTCAACCACTGCGCCACCAGGGAAGCCCGAGTACTCTCTTTTGATATGTCTTCAAGCTCACTGGCTCTTTCCTCTGTCTTCTTGATTCTGCTCCTAAGGCCACCCAGAGAATTTTTAATTTCAGTTATTATATTTCTGCATTTGCTTCAAGACAGTCCATGACAGCTGTCTCTGTCTGGTTATGATCACTGCTTTATTGCCTCGTCAAGGACTTCCAAATTCTGTGACATGTTGTCTTTTTTTTTTTTTTTTTTTTTATTTTTGGCCGCGTTGGGTCTTTGTTGCTGTGCGCGGGCTTTCTCTAGTTGAGGCAAGCGGGGGCTACTCTTCGTAGTGGTGTGCGGGCTTCTCATTGCGGTGGCTTCTCTTGTTGAGGAGCACGGGCTCTAAGTGCGCAGCTTCAGTAGTTGTGGCTCGCGGGCTCAGTAGTTGTGGCACACAGGCTCTAGAGCACAGGGTCAGTAGTTGTGGTGCACAGGCTTAGTTGCTCCGCAGCACGTGGGATCTTCCTGGACCAGGGCTCGAACCCATGTCCCCTGAATTGGCACACGGATTCTTAACCACTGCGCCACCAGGGAAGCCCACATGTTGTCGTTTTTGTCTGTTAATTGTCTTCTCCTGTTCAAGTTGAGATTTTCCTGGCTCTTGGTATGCCTGGTAATTTTGGATTGCATCCTGTATTTCGAGTATTATGTTATGAGAGCCTGGTTCCCATTTAAATCTTCTATTTTTGCAGACTGTCAATGTGCTTATATTCACAGAGCATGTCCTGGCCCTCTTCCTTGGGCTGTGTTTGAATGTTAATTTAATTCTCAAGGCCTTTGCAGTACTGCTCTGGTCTGCTGTGCTTGTGTGCTACCCAGAGCCAGTGTGAAGCCTGGCTGGTATGCCACACTGGATTCTGTTCTCAGAGCCTCTGCTGTGCGATCCTGGCCAGTTTCATGTATGGGCTGCTTGGGGGTGAAGCCAGGACTTCATACTAGATCTAGAGGACTCCCTTGTCCACCTCCCCTCTCTAGTGCAGGGAATGGAGAGCTGGGGGCTCCACCCCACTGTGTCTATCGCCCCATGCAGGAACTTGGGGCCCTGGAAAGCCTCCCTGGAGGCAGCACCCAGTGCGGAGGGGGAGGCATGGACCCCGCTTGGCTGTAGCTGGGACGGGGCAGTGGCACTGCTACCCTTGTGGCATTAGTAGCGTGGTCTTCCCACGAGTCCTGGCTCGTCTGCACTCCTCTTCACGCCCCTCTGGGTCTCCTGAGAACTGTGTCCAGAGCCTCCGTGTAACTGGTGGCAGTGGTTAGGTGCAATATGCCGGCTCCATCTCCTTCTTGGTCAGAACCAGAACCTCCCACATGCCTTTCTTAAAGACTAAAAGAAAACTGTCAGAAGCTGGCAATAGAATCCCCCTCTGGTTCTACGTCAGACGGAGGGTTCTAACGTCAGAGGTCACTGGGAAAGAGCGAGAGGAAGGGGATTCCCCACAGAGAAGCTGCCAGAAAACCGGTGAAAAGGGGCCCCCTGCTGCCTCGCATGCAGCTGCCAACTGGCTCACAGCCCTCACTTTCTTGCCCTGCCCCCAGGTTAGCTCTTAGGGGCCCCTCTCTCTGCCTTCTGCAGCCCCCGCTCTGGCTTCTGGGTCAGGCCTTGCAGGAACCCACGCTCTATGCCTCAGGACCCACCGCTCCTCCCCAGGGACGAGACCAGCAGAGTCAGAAATGGATGCCCTTTTGGCGGAGCTGGACCCTCCTGCATGGCCGGCACCTGCACCTGGCACCTGGCCGTGCCCTTCCTGGTCGGGAGGGTCTGTGCAGGAGCTGGGCTGGCACAGCGGCCAGCCAGGGGGGCCAGGAAGAGAGCCCTCAATGTGTTGGGGCCCCAGAAGACTGGGGTCTGGCTGGGACGTGGGCGGCAGGAGGGGTGAGGCTGCCCGTTCAGCCACGTCCATGAAAACAGGAGGTGCTACCTGCCAAGCAGTAACTTTGTGTTGGGAATGAACTTCAGCCGGGGACGCTCGGACCGAGGCTGATGCGCTCGTGGGTCCACGTGCCCGCTGCCTCCGTCCCTGCTGCTGTGGGGCTTCCTGGCCTCACGTCTAGAGAAGGGGAAGCCTGTGGCCTCAGGGACAGGCACCCCAGGACCCAGCCCTGACCAACCCTGGGTTGTTTTGTGCCTCACCCCGGGGTCTGGAAACCCCACGCAGACGAGGTGGTAGATGTCGATCTCCTAAACCTCAGACTGTTTGCTGTCTCTGGAGCAGTCAGTGCAAGAACTCCAGGAAGGGGGCAGGTCGGAGGATGGGCCCTCCCCTGGCCGATCCTTTCGACTCTGCGTTTGCTCTGGGCCTCACGGCCTTCTCTGCATCCGTGCATCCGTCTCCCCTTCAGCGGCCCGGTCCTGGTGTGTATGAAACGCAAGGGCGCTACAGTGTGGTTGGTAATTTCAGCGGGAAAGGCGGGGCTCTGGCTGTGGGGACTCGGGGCCGACCCCGGTGCCTGTTCCATCTGCCGAGGCCTCTCGTGCCGTGGTGTCACCTAGAAACATCCAGGGACACCGAGACTGTGCGAGTGGCAGCCCGATCCCTCAGGCCAACGCACGCCCCTGTGCTCTGCAGGTCACCAGTTTGGGCTACATGCTGTAGGGAGCAAGTGGGACTCGGGGAACCCTGCCAGCAACCTCTCCACGGTGGCCGTCATGCCCGTGTCAGAGGATGTGCCCCTCACCACCTTCACCCTGGAGCTCAAGCACGCCCTTAGCGCCATCGGTAAGCCCTGCCCAAAGGCACCTGAGGTCCGGTTGGACCCCCTCCTCCTGCCTCTCATCCTTCCAGGTTCTCCTGAAAGAGCACTTAGTGTTGCTCGCAAGGCTAAACCCTGGGCAGGGGGTGGAGAGGGGTGCAGCGCTGGGGAGAGGACCGTCACAGTGAGACGGGCGCCTCTGGACAGTCTTGATGGGCAAACCCTATCTCACAGGGGCTGGTGTGAGTCACACTGCACTGCTCCTCCCAGCTGAACTCTGGGGCCTCCAGGGGCACAGAGACCCCTGAACCGCCCCCCCGCCAGCGGGAGCCCATCTTGGGGTGTGAGCCTGGGGTGGGTGCGTGCAGCTGCTCCACTACTCGGAGGGGACACCGCAATGGCTGGGGCAGCTGACTGACCACGTGGAGAACACCCGCAGCTGGGGTCAGGCAGCTTAGGTCATGTTCCCAAGTTCCACGGCTGTTAAGTTGGGGGCTCAAGAACAAGAAACTGAAATTCCTGAGAACCCTTAGAAATTCCCCAAATCATAAAGTATTCCATATTCTTAACACTTTATGTATATGTTTTTATAACTGTGAGCGACCATAGTAAGAGACAATAAGTCAATTTTCTGAGATAGGGCTATCCTAAAGGTTTCAGGGGTGTCTTCAAAAATGATATAACAATAGGTGCAATGAATGTTACATTACTATTATGGAACAATACGTTGTGACAAGAGTATGTATCTTAATATGGCGAAACGTCCGCTATCTGAAACAGACACTTGATAGTAGAAGGCATTAAATAAATGCCAAATGAAAATGATTTATGAAATTGAAGATACTACTATAAATGTTTAATATGTAAAAGTTACTCTCCAAGGGAAAATTTAAATCACAGAAAGCGTTAATTTGGATTCGTCTTGGTCTTTGTTTTATAACAAATATTCTGGAGGTAGAAAACATCATACATTTTTCAGTGACGTTGGTCAGACTGTCCAGGGCACACCCAAAAGATCTGCAGTTGCACAGTGGAGATGTGTTGATTCATAAAAGCTTATTCCCTTTTTTAAAAAAACAAACCAACCTTTTATTTTGAAATAATTACAGATTCACAGGAAGTTGTAAAAATAGTAAAGCGAGAGCCACACACCCCCCCCCCCCCTCCCAAAACAACAAACCCGCCCCCCCCCCCCCCCCCCCCCCCGCCCCCGCTGCCCCAGGTTGCAGCGCAGCATCCAGACCAGGAGGTTAGCGTCCGTGTGCTGCGCTGATGTGACATTCATGTGTGTCCACGCAAATTTCTATTTCTTCGAGGAACTGGGGATCTTGACAGGGATTGCACTGAACTGTTGGTGGCTTTGGGTGGCACTGACATCCTAGCAGTGTTAAGTGAAAGCAGGCATCCTGCCTCGTTCCTGATCTTAGGGGGAAGCGTTCAGTCCTTCGCCTTCAAGTAGGATGTTAGCGGTCAGTTCTTCACGTATGGCCTTCAATATGTTGAGGAGGTTTCTTTCTATTCAGAATTTGTTGAGTGTTTATATCATAAAAAGATGTTGAATTTTGTCAGTGCTTTTTCTGCGTCAGTTGAGATGATCATACTTCCCCCCCTTTGTTCTGTTAATGTGATTTATTACGCTGATTGATATTCATATGCTGAGTCATTCTTGCATTCCAGGAATAAATCCCACTTGGTGTGGTATGTAATCCTCTTAATACCCTGCTGAGTTTGGTCAGCTCCTGTTTCCTGAGGATTTTGCATTGTCAAAGGTGCTCGTCTGTAGTTTCTCCTGGCGTCTTGGTCCCACGCAGACTTTGGTACTGGTGGGGCGGGGCGGTGCTGGCCCCATGGAATGAGTTAGGAAGTGTTCCCTCCGAGTCAATATTTTTGGAAGAGTTTGAGGAGGATTGGTGTTAATTTTTCTTTAAATATTTGGTAAAATTCCCTAGTGAAGCCACCTCATGCAGGGCTTTTTTTTTTTTTTTTTTTTTTAACTGGTTCAGTTTCTTACTGGTTATAGGTCTATTCAGATTTCCTGTTTCTTCATGGTTCAGTCATGGTAGGTTGTGCGTTTCTAGGAATTTGTCCATTTCATCCAGATGATCCAGTTCGTTAGTTTGCAATTGCTCACTGTACTCTCTTGTATTACTTTTTATTTCTGTAAAATAGCTAATGTCCTGTTATTTCTGCATTTAGTAATTTGAGTCTTTTCTCTTTTTTTCTTTATTCCTCTAGCTAAAGGTTTGCCAATTTTATTGATTCTTTCAAAGAACCAACTATTGGTTTCATTGATTTTCTGTTTTCCTATTCTCTATTTTATTTATCTCTGTTCTGATCTTTATTATTTCCTTATTTCTGCTAGCTCTGGGTTTAGTTTGAGATTCTTTTTCCGGTTACTTAAGGTACAAAGCCAGTTGTTGATCAGAGATCTTTCTTCTTCCTCAAAGGAGGCATGTGTAGCTGTAAACTTCCTTCCTAGCTATGCTTTTGCTGTGTCCAGTACATCCGGGAATGTTGTTATTTTTGTTTTTATTTCTCTCAAGATATTTTCTCATTTCTCTTGTGATTTCTTTGACCCATTGGTTGTTTATGCATGTGTTGTTTAATTTCCATATATTTTTGAATTTTCCAGTTTCATACCATTGTGATCAGAAAAGATACTTTGTGTAAATCCAATTTTTAAAAAATTTTTTATCGGAGCATAGTGCTTTACAATGTTGTGTTAGTTTCCACTGTACAGCAAAGTGAATCAGCTTTACAGATACATACATCCGCTCTTTTTTGGATTTCCTTCCCATTTAGGTCACCACAGAGCACTGAATGGAGTTCCATTGCTATACAGTAGGTTCTCATTAGTTATCTATTTTATTTTATTTTTTCAAAGAAAGATTCCATTTTCTCTCATTTCTTTTTTTTTTAAATTAATTATATTTTAATTTGGTTGCGCCAGATCTTAGTTGTGGCAGGCGGGCTCCTTAGTTGTGGCCCGAGGGCCCCTTAGTTGTGGCGTGCATGTGGGATCTAGTTTCCTGACCAGGGATTGAACCCAGGCCCCCTGCATTGGGAGCATGGAGTCTTACCCACGGAGTCTAACCACTGTGCCATCAAGGATGTCCCAGTTATCTATTTTATACACAGTATCAATAGTGTATATATATCAGTCCCAATCTCCCAGTTCATCCCAGCCCCCCACCCCCGCCTTGGTATCCATATGTTTGTTCTCTACATCTGTAAATCCAATCTTTTTGGGGTTTTTTTAAGTCTTTATTGAATTTATTACAATATTGCTTCTGTTTTATGGTTTTGGCTTTTTGGCCCCAAGACATGTGGGATCTCATCTCCCTGACCAGGGATCGAACCCGCATCCCCTGCATTGCAAGGAGAAGTCTTAACCACTGGATCACCAGGGAAGTCCCTGTAAATCCAGTCTTTAAAGTTCTTTAGGACTTACCTTGTGGCCTAACATATAGTCTGTCCTGGAGAAAGGGAAGAGTGTGTGTTCTGCAGCTGGGCAGGTGGCCTTTCCTCTTTGTGCATTTGGATGAGTGTGCAGTGGTATCTTGTTTGGGCCTGAATTTGCATTTCCCAACAACTAAGAAGTTTGCTTGTTTACTGGCCATTGGGATACCTTCTTTCGCAAGTGCCTGTCAAGCTGCCCCCCCTTTTTATTGGTTTGTTATCTTTTCCTTGTTGACGGGCAATCTGGATACAGTCGCTTTATTGGATGAAAGTGTTGCAGATATCTTTCCCTCTGTGGCTTGTTTTTTTTATTCTTTTAATAATATCTTTTGACAAACATAAGTTGTTAATTCTAATATAGACCAATTTATTTATCAATTTTTTCCTATATTATTACTGCTTTTTGTGTTTTATTGAAGAAATTTCATGCTGCCCCCAAATCATGAAGAGGTTCTTCTAAAAACCTTAGGGTTTTACCTTGCAAGTTTACAGTTCATTGGAGATTGATTTTGGTGATGATGCGAGGTAGAGTCAGGATTCCTTTTTCTATAGGATCTTCAGCTGCCCCGGAGCCCTCGCTTAGAAGGACTGGACTCTGCCCTGCAGTGATCTTTTGCTGACAGTCAGGTGACCACATTTGTGAAGCGTGTTTTTAGAGTGAGGATCTAGGCCAGTGGTCCTTTTCTTCCACTTGTGAAGGTGTCAGTCCACTTCCTCTGGCTTCCAGAGCTTGGGAGAGAGGCTGTGTGACAGCCAGGCTGGCAGTGACTATCCAGGCCAGATCCGTCCTGGAGCAGCAGCCGTGCCCCACGGAGCCGACACATAAGTGCCTAGGCATCAGCCTGTGTCCACGCACTGCCCTGGACCTGCCCATGGCCTGGGCCCTAAGCAGACCCTCCCCTGGACGGAATGGTCACCACAGTCCTGGCTGCCTGGGGCTGCAGCCCGCACCTCGAGAGCCCAGAGCGCCACCTCCGGGGGGCTCCACACTTTCCCAAGGGCCTCCTCCGAGCCTTCCGAGTCCAGGCAGGCGGGCCCAGAGCAGGAGACGTGCCCTGAGGGCAGATAGAGCCCAGCCTGCGGTCCACTGAGGACCTCAGGGCTGCGCTCCGCTGTGTTCCTGCAGCCAGACACGGCCTGCCTGTCCCGCCTCGTCCTAGAAGCCCAAGAGGCGGACGGGGTGAGCCACCGCAGTGCCCAGGAGTGCCGGCCCTCGCAGGCACGTGAGGCATCAGCCCCGAGAGGACGCCCTCTGTCAGACCCACGGAGGGTGACCAACTCGAGCTTGAAGCTCTTCCCGACCTGGCCCGACCTGGCCTGACCCCCAGAGCAGGACTGCAGCCCCCAGGGGGACCAGCGCCCTTTGCCCCGAGCCCCCAGAGGAGTTGCTTCCCCGCATCAACGGGCTTCTGCCATTTGAGTCAGAGCTGCACAGACGCACAGGTCAGTCCAGCAGCCACATCACAGGGCACCACCCTGTGAAATGCACCCTTATGCTTGTGCCTCCAAGAAAGCAGATGCTGCCAGTTAAACACAAGGCGGTGATTTCTCGTCTCTCACCTTCTGATTACAAGCTCTCAGAGAAGCTCAGGTGTAAGCGAGGGTGTAAGAAGGAAGCCATGGGGAAGAGCCCGGCCTCTCCTGCAGCAGCGGGACTTCTGCATCCTCAGGGCGGTCCAGCAGCCTTCCTGACACTGAGGGCCGCTGGCCTCTCAGCTTTTGTCTCTGCCCCTGGCGGCCCTCTCACATATTCTGACACTGGCCCTCCTGGCTGAGAGCAACTGTGTCTGTGTGGACAGCAACTCTAAGACCCTGTAGATGCAGGAAGCACGCTGATCCCTGGTGATAGACACTGGTGAACCGCACCTGACTGGAGCCCAGCCAGCCGGGCTGCCTTGGATTTGGGAGACTGTCTAATCTCGCACTTTACAAGCTTGTGCTTCCCTGCCCTCACGCATACACAGTCTCAGTGCCGCAGAGATTCAACCCCTTCATGTGTAGAGGAGGAGACTGAGGTTCAGAGAGGCCGCCCCTCCCTGTACTTGCTGCAGCCCTTCCACCGCCACACCTGCAGCCTCACCTGCCCAGAGGGTCTGCTTCAGGGCCACAGGCACTTCCTCATGAGTGGTGAAAGGCTTATTGCTTTCCAGAAGAGCAAACTTCCAGGAGAAGGAAGGGCCTCGCTTGTCCTCCAGTGTGAGCCGCCGGCACAGTTTTCTGTATTTGGTGGTTGTGTTTTCAGGCCCTGCCCTGCTGCTGACCAGCGGCAACGTAAAACAGCACCTTGTCTCTGCTGCTCTGGACAGGTACGCCGGCCTCCGTGTCGGAACAGCCTAGCCGAGCTTGGCTTGCTGCTCTCAGTGGGTCCCAGCCCGGCCTTGAAATGTGCCCTGGCGTCTGCGCCCCTCTGTCTGTGCCTTCCAGTATCCACGAGCACCGGCTGTCCAGCTGGCTGGGGCAGCAGGAGGACATCCACCGGATCGTGCTCTACCAGGTGGACAGCACGCTCACACCCTGGACCCAGCGCTGTATCCGGCAGCCCGACTTCATCCTTATCGTGGGCCTGGGCGAGGTGAGCCGGCCTGCGTGAGTGGGGCAGTGGGTGGGGCCTCAGCAGGTGGGGTCCGTGGCCAGGGCTTGAGGGGAGGGGCCGGCCGGCTGCTGGGTTGGGCCAGGCAGTGGGCGTGGTCAAAGGGCTGCAGGCTGGGCAGGTCTTGGCGGGAGGGGGGCCCCACTCTCTCCTCCAACCCCTTGTTTCTCTCTTGTCCTCTGAATGAAGTATTTCAACAACTCAGAAAGGGATGGATGATAAGAGCAGACACCCAGGTATTTGCTCTTGTAAAGTCAGAGCCTCTGTCCGTGTTTCACGTTTTTACTATGTGTGTATATGGCACTGGGTTTTTTATATAAATAGTGCTCGAGTTTATACCATCTTGAAATTTCCTTTTTACTCAACACTTACGCTTTTGAATTGTATCCATATTGTTTCACTCGTCTCATGGCTGTTTAGTTTCTATTTGTGAATGCCCCACCATCTGTCTCTTCTCAGCCAGCGGACTGTGAAGTTACTTCACTACACGCGTGTGCAGGGGTGTCTTCAGGGCACCACCTGGAATTGCTGCTGAGCGGCAGAGGCTGTGTGTCTTCAGGTTCAGAGAGCTGCCAGACTGCATTCCTGTTGTGCACGTGATGTGGGCGAGGTCTGGGGCTCCATGCTCCCTGCTCTGCACTGTCAGTCCCCTGTGTTCCCAACTTCCTGGGTGTGAAGTGGAGTCTCGTTGTCCCTTCGCTTTGTGTTCCCCACCTCCTTCCTCTGCCCCGTCGTCTGTTCTCATTTCACGCTTCCATCCCGGTCCTGGGACAGCTACAAACTCGTCATCTCCGATGTGGGTTCCTGTTCTTACCAGGAGTGATGCTCCCTTGTGGGGGAGTGTTTGCAAAAGAAGGTTGCAGTGTGTGCGCCGCCTCCCTTCCTGCAGGCCCCCGGAGCTCCCTCATGCCCCCGCACCCAGCCCCGCACCCCCTGGGTCACAGCTTCACAGAGGAAGGGCCAAGCACGCCACAGCCGGGTCGGTCTTCAGAACCAGGGTGCCACCCGCCAAGGCCAAGACCTGTGTTGGGCTAGGGCGTGAGGCGTGGTCCCGTCCAGCCTGGGACATCTGTGGACAGCCCCGCGCTGGCCTTTGGCTCTGTCCTGCTCGAGCCTGCGGCCTCTGGTGGGCTGCCTGACGCGGGGCTCCGCTCTCCCTTAGCTGGAGCGGGTGCTGGAGAGCGCAGCTGTGCGTGCCCAGAAGCGCCGGGAGGACGGGCCTGCGCCGGCCCGCACTGTGTAGCGGCTCAACCTGGGGGCTGCTGTTCCGGCCACCTGCACCCCTGCTGCCCTCGCCGCGTCTAACCAGGAGGAGCCTGCCCGAGATGGTGAGGCCTGGGGCGGCTGGGGGCCCCGCCGACCTGCTTCGGGCCCTTTGCCTCTGACTCTGCTCTGAGCCCGCTGGCTCTGATGAGGGCGCTGGCTCTCCACGAGCTCTCCCGCTCCTGTGCACTCACATCTGCTTGAGCTTGGTCTTCGGATTCCCGGGGCCACAGGGTGACATGCCCCCCGGATGGGGGAGCCCCTACGGGGGGCCAGAACCCCAGAGCGATGGGCCTGAGGTTCCCACCTCCAGCTGAGGCCTCAGAGAGCCCGGTGGCCTCAGGTTGGCACTGCTTCCTCCTTTGGACAGCAAAGCACACAAATCCTGAGGCGCCTCCTCCTCAGGGGTCCCCAGCCCTGGCGGCTGTGCGCGGGCCGTGGTGGGAGCGCAGGGGCCGCCGGCTGGCCACAGCCCACCCAGCCCCACAGCTTGGTGGAGCCGCCCTGCCAGCGGCGTCTGCGCCCAGGTGGCCAAGCCCTGAGAGCCCTCCACCTCGGGGCTGTGGGCTTCGGCTGGGCCCGTCGGTATGTGGCCCAGCTGCCCGCACTGCCCGCCCCACCCCAAGAGCCCTCCCAGGTGAGCCCGGGCGCCGAGGTGACGACTGGGTCGGGATCAGACCCACCGGCCGTGTCCAGGAGGAGCTTTGGGTCAGGAGTGGGGTAGAACAGCCAGGCCACGTCGGGTGTGCGAACTCGGCCCGGCCCCCCGCGTCTGCCGGCCTCTCTCGCAGGTGGAGCCGTCGGAGCGGGTCTGCCAGAGGCCCCCGGACCTCCGCTCGGACTTCTCCGGCCTGGCGCGGGTGCTGACCAGCAACGCTGTCGCCTTGGTACCCGGGGGAGGGGAGCCAGGTGAGTCCCGCCCCTTCCCGCGGGCCACGAGTCGGTTACGTGTGCGCCTGCGCTGATCCTCCCCGGGCTGGGCTGGCGCACGTGCCCGACAGTGTTTCCCACGGGCAGGTGTCCCCTCCCTCCACAAAGACAGTGGAAGAGAATGTATTTCTCGTTCCGATTGTCTCCTCTTCTGAAAACTCCATTCTGACCCTTTGCCAGTCTTTCCGCTGGGCTGCGGGAGAGTTTCTTTCCATTTTAATGCACACTTTATGGAACAGTGATCTGCTCTGCTCACGACCGTCGTGAAGCAGCCTTTAGTTTCTTGGGCTGGTGGGTTCCTTTAAGGACTTTTAACCCAAAGCACTTGTACCCCAAGTTGCTGCCGTTCTCCTGACCTTGGTTAAAGAGAAAAATACACGTGGGGGCAGAAACGGAGGGGCAGGTGTGTGGTGAGGGTGTGACAGGCCAAGGGCCCCGGGTGAACCGGTCGGCGCGAGGAGGGGCAAGGCAGCACCTCCTGCAGCATCTGTGCTGGACCCCCGCCCCTCTGAGGGCCAGGTCCCAGGGCCAGGGGTGCCCTGTGGGGTGGATACCCTCACACCCCTGGCCTCGGAGGACGTCAGGCCAGTTGCTGGGCTGGCGGGCTTGTGCCGCTTCCCCGGCACTGCAGCGAGGCTCCCTGAGTGCCAGGCCTGGGTGCCAGCCCTGCTTACCGTGCTGGCCACCTGTCCCCAGGGCCTGACGGAGGAGCCTGGCTCGCCACCTGCCTTGGCCCGAGGATGTCCCTTCCAGAGGACGCTGGAGTCACTGTGTGTGCACCCTGCAGAGTCGGGGCTGTGCTCGCGCCCGGCCCCTCCACTCCTCGGCTAATTGTAGCTGGAGAGGGTCAGAGAAATGATGCAGGTGAGCCTCAAAACTGCTTGTCTGGCCGGATTCACGCTCCTTACTTCCCCACCGTTGGAGACTCGGAGGCTCCAAGTTCTGGCCTGAGACCCTTACAGCCAGGAAAGTGGGGTGGGCACGGGAGGGGCTGCCCTTCTGGAGACCCCGCCTCCTCACCCCCAGCCTCCTCACTGGCCGCCTGTGCCTTCAGCGCACGTTGTGGCCTCTCTCCGAGGGCTGCGCTGCAGGGGACGGATCCCGCGGTCCGCAGGCAGCGGCCGGGGTGGAACGCCTGCACGTGTTGGCCCTGGCACCCTGAGTGCGGCCTGGCCTGGGTGGTGAAGTAATGAGTACCCTGCTCGTTTATTTTGGGTGATTTGGGGGCATCGTGTAGTGCCGTGTTTTTACCTGAAAGCTGAGCCAGTGGGCCTAGAAACTCGGGGGATTTACCCAAAGTTGCCGGGATGGGGGTAGCACTCAGCCTGCTTTCTGTGGGGCTGGGACAGTGAGGTGCCCTGGAGCAGCTGGCTTGCAGCAGCGTTTTTAATGAAAATTTAGTTAAAGTAATACTTAGTTTAAAAGCCATGTGGCCATTCTGTAAGGCCGTATGGTATTTGTATAACACACAGCAGTCCTCTGCCCCACCAACAAATCCAGAGATATCCCACAGACAGACAGTATCCCACAGACAGTATCCCACAGACAGTATCCCACAGACAGTATCCCACAGACAACAGTATCCCACAGACAGTATCCCACAGACAGTATCCCACAGACAGTATCCCACAGACAGTCACTTCCAACTTTTCTTCAGCTGTTTCCTCATTTACGTTTCTTTTTTTTTTTTATTGAAGCATAGTTGATTTACAATGTTGTATTGGTTTTAGGTGCACGGGAAAGTGATTCAGTTTTATGTGTGTGCGTGTGTGTGCGCGTGCATGCGTGTGTGTGCGTGTGCATGTGTGTATGTGTCTGTGTGTGTATATAGTGTACATATGTTGTTTTTCATATTCTTTTCCATTATGGATTATTACAGGGTATTGAATATAGTGCCCTGTGCTATGCAGTAGGACCCTGTTGTTTATCTGTTTTTTCATTTTTTTCAGTTTTAGATGATTAAGTTCCTAACCGCCCCCATATATGCACAGGGTCAAAGTCTGTTTGTGTGTCTCTGTCTCGTATCCTCCGTCTATCCTCCTCCTCAGCACGGGATCCCGGTGTGGTCCCCGCCCTAGTCAGCCATTGCTCACTGTTTGCCTTGCAGCAAGGTGGGTCTTTGGAGCTAAGCCTTGTCCTACTGTATATACGGCAGTGTCTCCCTCCTCAGAGTAATAATTGCTCAGTAGCCCACCACAGATGCTGCTGGAGACGCAGCCCCCTCAGTGTTCTCAGACCACCAAGTCATCGCTGCTGAACTCACTCTGGACCGGCCTCCTCTCAGCTCTGCTGGTTGCTCCCCAGTCATGCCGCTGGGATGTTGCCTTGGAGTTTCCCTTCACCATGATCCTGGGAACTGCCTTTGTCTCTCTCCTGTGTCCAGCTCCACTTCTGGATACCATGTCTTCCCCTTTCTTGATACATTCCTGATTTTGGTAGAGTTCATACTCTAGAAGTTTCCTTAAGAGAAGCTGCATGGGAGGGAAGAGTTTCAACGCCACGCTTAGCAGAAAGTTCCCTCACTCTGCTCTCACACTCGCATGACAGTTTGGTTATGAACTCTAGATGGAAATACTTTTCCCTGAGAACTTTACGGTGTGGTCCCATCATCTTTTTAGCTTCCAGTATTGCTGCTCTGAAGTTCAGTGTCGTGTTCTTCACGAAGCCTGTTCCTTCTGGATCCTGTAGGGGACTCTCTTCACTCTTGTGTTTCTGGAAGTACTTGAGGATGTGCCTGGGTGTGTTAGGCTGGGCAGACTCCCAGTGGGCCCTTTCAAATTCGGAAATTCATCACCTGTAACCCTCGGAGTGTTGGATGAGGCCCGCACCCCTGCTCCCTGCTCCCTCTTCTGGATCACAGTGCAGATGACCCCCCATCCTCTCGTGCTCCCATCTTTTCTTTTCTCTCCCAAGTTTCCATCTTTGTCTTTTTGTTCTACTTTCTGGGTGATTTTTCTCAGATGTATCTTCTAATCGATCTTTTTTTCCTAAGATGTTTCTAATGTCTGAGTGCTTTCCTCAGTTTTTTTCTGTTTGTTCTAGTAGTGCAGTTTGAACTTCTCTGAGAATAATAATGCTTGCTTGCTCGGCTTTCCGTTCCGTTCCGTGCCGGCCTGTGTCGGCTTGGTCCCGTGAACTCCGAGTCTCTGAGGCTGTCTGTGTGCGCTGACCGCACCCGTGGCGTCGCCGCATGGGCCCCTGTGGGCCCCTGTAGTCCTCCTCCTGTCAACAGACACTTGGGTTATTTTCTGGGTTTGGTTACTGTGCACAAAACGGCTACAAGCATTCTTGTACAGATCTTTCCTGTGCACATATGTGCTCTTCTCTTGGGCTAATACCTAGGAGTGGAATTACCTGTCCACGGGGTAGTTGAACAGTTTTACACCCCCACTGGCAGTTTTGAGAGTTCGGGCTGCCCACATCTCTGGTATCGTCCGGGATGTAAGTTGTGGCCACGCCCCTTGGTATCGTCCGGGATGTAAGTTGTGGCCACACCCCTTGGTATCGTCCGGGATGGAAGTTGTGGCCACGCCCCTTGGTATCCTCCGAGATGTAAGTCGTGGCCACGCCCCTTGGTATCGTCTGGGATGGATGTTGTGGCCACACCCCTTGGTATCGTCCGGGATGGAAGTTGTGGCCACACCCCTTGGTATCGTCGGGGATGGAAGTTGTGGCCACGCCCCTTGGTATCCTCGGGGATGGAAGTTGTGGCCACGCCCCTTGGTATCGTCGGGCATGGAAGTCGTGGCCACGCCCCTGGTGGGGGGCCGTGCCTCACCGTGAGTCTGATCTGCATCCCTGGACTCGGGTTCCAGGTGCCTCTTGGTCATCAAGTTCCACGCGCCTCTCTCACAGGTGGCTCGCCCTCTACTATTTAGTTAGAGGAGTTATTTATATACTCTGAATACGAGTCTTTTTTTAACTTTCTTTTTTTAAATTAATTAATTTTATTTTTGGCCGCGTTGGGTCTTCGTTGCTGCGCGCGGGCTTTCTCTAGTTGTGGTGAGCGGGGGCTACTCTTTGTTGCGGTGCGCGGGCTTCTCCTTGAGGTGGCTTCTCTTGTTGCAGAGCACGGGCTCTAGGCGCGCGGGTTTCAGTAGTTGTGGCACATGGGCTCAGTAGTTGTGGTGCACGGGCTTAGTTGCTCCACGGCATGTGGGATCTTCCCGGACCAGGACTCGAACTCGTGTCCCCTGCATTGGCAGGCGGATTCTTAACCACTGTGCCACCAGGGAAGTCCCTGAATACAAGTCTTTTACCAGATATGTTTATTACTAATATTGTCTTCAGTCTTTGACTTTTGTTTTTGTTGTAATGGCATGTAATGGCGTTTTTTGATGAGCACGTTTTAACTCTGATGAAGTGTGATTTCCCAGTTTTTTACAGTTTTTTAATTTCTGGTGCTCTGGGGGCTCTTGCCTAGGCTACATCTTCTCAAAGCTTGTACATCTGGGCCTGCAGTCCACCCACAATTGTTTCCTGTGAGTGGCGGGGTGTGAGGTGAGGGTATTCTACATGGTTGCCTAGTTGAAGACTTTCCCTCCCTGCTGAGCTGCTGAGGCGTCTGAGTGAAGCACCAAACACCTGCGCAGGTGTGAGCTGCACGGAGGCATGTGTTCTGTCCCAGCCACACCACTACACTGTCTTTGTTACTCTAGCTTTATGGGAAAGCATCAGGCAGTGTAATTCCCTCAAATTCTTTTTCTTGAAGTTGTTTGGATTTTCCTAGGTCCTCTGCATTTCTGTGTAAATTTTAGAGTCAGCTAAGTATTTTATGGGTTTTTTTGCTATTGTAAATGGTATGTTTTTTTTTTTAAATAAATTTATTTATTTTGGCTGCGTTGGGTCTTCATTGCTGGGCACGGGCTTTCTCTAGTTGCGGCGAGCGGGGGCCACTCTTCATTGCGGTGTGCGGGCTTCTCATTGTGGTGGCCTCTCTTGTTGCAGAGCACGGGCTCTAGGCACGCGGGCTTCAGTATTTGTGGCACGCGGGCTCAGTAGTTGTGGATCGTGGACTCAGTAGTTGTGGCTCGCGGGCTCTAGAGTGCAGGCTCAGTAGTTGTGGCGCACGGGCTTAGTTGCTCTGCGGCATGTGGGATCTTCCCGGACCGGGGCTCGAACCGGTATCCCCTGCATTGGCAGGTGGATTCTTAACCACTGCGCCACCAGGGAAGCCCTAAATGGTATGTTTTAAATTTCATTTTAAATTGTTTGTTGCCACTATGTAGAAATACAAATGATATTTGTAAATTAATGTCATGACTTACAACCTTGCTAAATTCACTTCTTCCAGTACCTTTTTTTGTAGTTTTTTTACATTTTGTTCTTCTGAGAATAAAGACAGTATTTCCTCTTTCTTTCCAAAATACCTAAATGCCTTTGTTTCTTTTTCTTGCCTGTTGCACTGGTTAGAGCTTCCAGCGCAGAGCTGAGCAGAGGTGGTGAGTGTTGGGGAAAGCATTCCCTTTAAGCGCTAAGTGCCATCGCTGCCAGCTCGGCTCTTGGGTTTTGTAGATGCCCTTTATCAGACTGAGGAAGTTTCCTTCTATTCTTAGTTTGCCGAGTTTTTATCACGGGTGTTTTTTTTTATGGGTCTGTCAGATTGTGTGATTCTGCTCCTTTATCCTGTTAATATGGTGAATCACACTGAGTGATTTTAAAGTAACATCAAACATCACCTTCTTGGGATGGACTCATCTGCCTGTGGCATGTGGCCCTGTTTCTGTGTCACCTGACCCCTTGGGTCTGAGCAAGGTGGGCCGTGCTTGTCCTTTCTTGAAATGTAGGCAGGTTTGTTTGCCTACCTTCCAAAATTCAAAACTGAATTGGAAGGTGCTGCTGCTTTCCCTGTTCTCTGGAAGGTTCCAGGTGGCTTGTGTTGGTTTTCCTTAGATGTTTAGTACAGTTCACTAGTAAAACCATCCGGACATGAAATTTTGTGAGGATTTGAAAATTAAAGATTCAGTTGTTTTGATGGTTATTGAACTCTTCAGGTTTTCTACTTCTAGTGTCGGGTCTGGTAGGTTATGTTGGTCTAGGGATGTGTCCATTTTATCTGATTTTTCCTACTTACGGCATGAAGCTCACACTAGCTTCTTACCTTCTTAATTGGAGCATCTGTCCAGAGGTTCCCTTTCTCAGTCCTGATATTGGTTATTAAGACCTTCTGTCTCCCTCCTCCTCCCTCTTTCTCTCCCTCTCCATCTCTGTCCCTTTCTCCCTCCCCTTCCACTCCCCGACCCTGGCCGCCTCCCTCTGTCCCCCGCCTTTTACTTTTATGGACCAGTCGTACCTGAACTCGTCCTTTCGAGGATCCTCTCTATAGTGTGTTTGTCTTCTGGTTCATTAATTTCTGCTCTTTATTATTTCCTTAATTTTACTCTTTTGATTTAAACTGTTCTTTCTTTCCTAACTTACGGGCCAGCAGGCATTGTCTGTGAAGGGCCAGATGGTAAGTCCGTGGCCTCGGCAGCCAGCGCGGGGCAGGGGAGGTCAGCTCTGTGTGTGCTGACCCTTTGGAGGCAACGTGCCTTTTTGTTCTCAGCCTGGTCTGAAGTTTTCTTCATCTTGGGTTTTCAACAATGTAGGATTTTTTTCTTTAATTTACGCTCAGCATTTAGAACGCTCCTTGAACCCGACGCTCAATGTCAGTCATCAGTTCTAGAACTTGGGTGTTGCCTCTGTCCGCTTCCACTGTCTGTCCCTCCTGCTGGCTACAGTCACACGCTCTCTTCCGCTCACACATGCTGTTTCTGGTTGTGTGGCGGACATCACACACGAACAGTGGCCAGAGTGGGCTCAGCCCGCGCTGCTTTCTGGTGGTGGCTCGTCCGGCCCTGGGGGCTGCGCTGGGGGCCTCCACCTGCCTCCCCACCCGCCCAAGTCTGTTCAAAGCCTGTTGTTTCGGCTTCACAGCCTCCCAGACGCCAGCGGGTGGAGGAGGCTGAGTGCTGGCTGCCTCTCGAGAGTGTCCCACTCCCTCTCTGAGTTGGCATCTTTGCCCCTCTCCCCGTGGCGTGTGCAGGACTCAGGCACTGAGGGGTGGGGTGGAACGGGACGGCCGTCCCCGGGGTCCTGGCGGCCCGGTGGCGCTGACTGCCTGCTCCATCCTCCTGTTGGCGTAGAGGCTGTGCCCAGGTGGGCATCATCCGGGCCCTGACAGAGGGCGGCATCCCTGCGCACGTGCTCGGACGTCCACCAGGGCCTTCACAGGCACCCTGTGCTCTGAGGAGTGGAACTACAGCCAGATACGGATCCGGGCCAAGCAGTGGGCTGAGGTGAGGGGCCCTGCAGGGCCGGGGACGCAGGAGGGCATCGAGACGGACGTGGCTTTGCAGGGCTCTGGCCTCAGAGCGTGGCTTGTTGGGGCAGGGAGGGCACAGAGAAGCAAGGGCGTCAGTGTTGTGGGATGGGCTCTGGTTCATGCCTGGTCTTGAGTTGTAAAGGTGACTGAGGAGAGGTTAGTGCACCCACAGTTCCCCGCATTTCCACACCCACCCCACAGGGCCATGGGGGCACCAGTGCCGGTAGGCAGGCAGGGGGCAAGGCCTAGGTCGGGGCCCTTATTGGGGTTTCTGTGGGAAGGGCAAGGCGGGGCAGGGCACACAGCTTAAGATCTGCCCGTTCGAATAATTCCGGCGGGTTTCTGGGCATAGCTGCCTGGCACCTGGCCCTGGGTGATTCAGGCTTGGGGTGTGCGTTAGACACAGGTAGTCGGGTGTGGGCTCTGGAAGGGCTGGGTGAGCCCAGGTCTGTCTCTCTCCCCCGGTGTGCGGGACCCCAAATGCCAGAGCATCAGGGACACAGAAAGTAAGAAATATACGTCGTTGGTACAGTTGGCCCTGTGGTGAACGGACGCCAGGGGACAGTCCAGGATCTGGGGACCCACCCGGGCAGGCGGGCTGCAGCCTGCCCTTCTCAGGGCTCTGCTCATTTTTTGTGGAGCAGAATGGAGCCCTGGCTGAAACCAAGAGTGGGCTCAGAAGTGTTGGCATTCTCATTTTTAAAAGAAAAGATGGGCCTCCTCTGAGCAGAAGCTCTCAGAGCAGGCCATCTGCCCGATCCACAGATCCCCAAGGCACCCAGTCTCCCTGGGGGCTGCGGGCTGCTCGGCTCCGGTCACTAAGGACAGCCTCCGAGGGCAGTGGCCGCGGGGGACGGTGCTCTAACCTCAGCAAGGGTCTGCGTGCAGGTCGGGCAGAGCTCTCCCACGGGTGTGGGAACAGCCAGGGGGCTTCGGGCATCATGTCCTGCCACCCTGAGTTTCTGCTGGGCCAAGGGAGCCCACTGGGCAGCCACCCTGTGGGCCATGGGGGATGGACCCCCCAGGCTGCTCTGTGGTCCCACCTGTTGGCACGTGGAGGGGGCACGGTGGGGTGGCTGCAGTGCTGGGCAAGGGCCTCCTCGGGAGTGAGGGCCTTGCTGCCCGCAGAGGACACCGGGGATGTCCTAGGCTGTCCTGGTTCCCTGTCCTCCAGGGGCACGTGTGTGCCTTCTGCTCGTCCACGAGTCTCAGTGAGAGCGGCTGGGGGCGCGTGACTCACCCCCAGCTGGGGGCCCACGCCCACTTACAGCCCGTCCCAGCGTCTGTCCACACAGAGGCAAGGAGGACCCTTCCTCTCCATCCCTGACCCCTGAGGAGTCAGGCATTCTTGGGCCTGTGCCCTGTGCTCACAGGTCCTCACTGAGGAAGGATGGGCATCGGTCCTACCAGAGATCACGGGGCTTCGGCAGTGAGGGCCCGTGGTAGGGCTGCTGCTTCCCAGGATCAGAGGGGTGGAGCGTCTGCCGCGGTGGAGTGTGAAGGCCAAGCCCAGGCCAGCCCGGAGGGGCAGTGGTGGATGCTCAGCTGGCCCTGGTCCTGGATGGGCCTTGTCCCAGTGAGCCTTGAGCCATCCCCGCTGAGCGGGCGGTGAGGGCCCAGCTGGCCAGGCCTGCCCGGGGTCAGCAGGTGTTCCTCTGGGACCTCCAGGCCCTGCCATTCAGGCCACAATGTTTGCTCCCCACAGGCTTCTATTCGCAGAAAGCGCATATGAGTGCCCAGGTCCCTGTTCCCTTCTGACACAGGCTCTTGGTGTTCCCTCGGGGTCGCCTGCTGCCGGTGCCCGGAGAGGGAGGCGGGGGGTGAGCCCCTTCTCCTCTGCAGAGGCCTCACACGTGCCCCCGTGTGCCACCCCCCAGGATGTGATGTCGATGGTAAAGACCATGCTGGACCTGACCTACCCCATCCCCTCTGTGTTCGTGTTCTCGGGGGCTGGCTGCAGCAGAAGCATCTGCAGTGTCTTCAAGGACAGGCAGATCGAGGTGCACCCCCAGCAGAGCCCACGGCCTCAGCCTGCCTGGGCCTGGACACCCTGGGCCCACAGGGTCGAGGGCTGGCAGCCGGGGGTGGTCCCTCTGAGTCCCGTTCCCCTCACAGGACCTGTGGGTCCCCTACTTCACCATCACCACGGACATCACAGCCTCTGCCATGAGGGTCCACACAGATGGTGAGCACCTCCTCCCGGGGTGCAGGCTCCCCAGCGGGGAGGGGCGTTAAGGGGCCAGTTCCAGGCCAGGCCCAGGGAAGCCCCAGGATCTCCCAGAGGAGGCAAGAGGCTCGGGGAGATGTGAACAGAGATGACTGCTCTGGGCCCAAAGGCTGAAGGGTGCACAGGGAGAGGTAGAGATGGGACGGGGGCAGAGGGGCAGACTGAGGGCCCACGTGGGTCACAGCTGCGTGTGGGTCGGAGCAGAATGCTGAGGAGAGAGCCCATCTGTGGGTGGGCGGCTGAGGCCCTTCTCCAGGCCAGAGTGTTTTGGGAGCCCCTTGAAATGTGTCTGCTTAGAAGTGAGTGGGGTGGCAGGGCTGGCAGAAGCTCAGGGCAAGGGGAGATGTGGGCAGGCCCAGAGCAAGCCCGGCCCCCCTGGGCTCCGTCTGAGGGGGAGGATGTCCAGGAAGGGTGTCATCTGCCCGGGCCTGGTGCTCTCCGCCGGAGGCCAGACGTGCAGGGCTCAGGACCCATGTTGGCGAGGCTCTGAGCCGAGGGTCCAGGGCAGGAACTCACCCTGGGCAGCGAAAGGCTCCTTTCCTCTCCCCCGATCCCTCTGGACCCCCTCCCAGGCTCACTATGGAGGTACGTGCGTGCCAGCATGTCCCTGTCGGGCTACATGTCCCCGCTCTGCGACCCCAAAGATGGACACCTGCTGATAGACGGGGGCTCCATCAACAACCTGCCAGGTACTGTGGCGGACGGGGGGCGGCCGCCCGGCCCCGCCTCAGCCCCACCGCTCCTGCGCGCTGGGGGTTACGGGCGTGCGCACGCTCGGCGCTGCGTGCTCCCAGCAGATGGCTCTATTTGTCGGCTCAGCAGTGCTCAGAACCAGGCCAGGTAGAGGGGCCGGCCGCAATTAGGGCCCGTCTGTGCCCACAGTCAGAACTAACAGCCTGCAGGTGTCGGGTCTGCTGTGGGCAAGGCCCCTCCTGGGGCACACCTGTCACCTGTTGGACAGCTCTGTGCGCTTGGCCGACCCCCTCCGCAGGCCCAGGTGTGAGGGTGGAGAGGAGGCCCTCCCCACCCTCCAAACCCTCACCCCCGTCCCCCCACTCTCAGCGCCTCTCAGGCAGGCTCTGCCCCCAGCCCTGGCTCCACCCCAACTTCCCCCAGCTCTGACCCGTCACCCCAGCCAGGCTCCCGCCTGGGGCTCTGCATACCTGTCCCCATTGGTGACCAGGCCACTTCCTCCCCAGCAGATGTGGCCAGGTCAATGGGGGCAAAGGTGGTGATTGCCATCGACATGGGCAGCCGGGATGAGACAGACCTCACCAACTACGGGGATGCGCTCTCCAGGTGGTGGCTGCTGTGGAAGCGCTGGAATCCCTTGGCCACGAAGGTCAAGGTGGGGGCCCAGCCCTGCCTACCCCAGCTGCTCCTCCCCACATCCTGGCGCCTGTGTCCCTGAGACCCTGAGATGGGCAGGGAGGGGGTGCACCTTCCAGGCTCTGGGTCCAGGAGGGTGGTGGTCGGTCACTCACCATCCCTGCCCGCCTGGGACCAGCTCTGGGAAAGGAGCCAGGCCTAGAGGCTCCACACACCCCAGGACCCCTGGCTGGGTGCCCAGCCTCCCCCCAGGCCTAGTAGAAATTGCCTCCCCTTGGGGGGAGGGAAGGGGAAGGAAGGGCCAGGGCAGGAGACTCAGTGGCTGTGCCCAGATGGAGGCCAGGGGCCACGCAGGGACAGGAGAGCCACACTCAAGGGCTGTGACACGGCAGGTGTTGAACATGGTGGAGATCCAGACGCGCCTGGCCTACGTGTGCTGCGTCCGGCAGCTGGAGATGGTGAAGAGCAGCAACTACTGCGAGGACCTGCGCCCCCCCCCCACAACAGCTACGGCACCCTGGACTTCAGCAAGTTCGACGAGATCTGTGTGAGTGTCCAGGCCGGCTGCCCCTCCCAGGCCTCCCTGCTCTCGCGTCCCGATCACGGGGTTCCCGGTGTGTGTGCAGGAGGTGGGGTACCAGCACGGCCGAACAGTGTTTGACATCTGGGGTCGCAGTGGCATGATGGAGAAGATGCTGCAGGATCGGTAGGGGACGAGCAAGGTGAAGGCGTGCGATGTGAGTGCCTGAGTTGGCACCCCTCCTTCCTCTCCCACTCCTGTGACCCGTCCTCTGCTGCCCAGTCCAAAAGAGAGGCAGGGCTCCCTGCAGCCAGCAGCACGTTGGCACACCCTCTCAACTGCTCAGGCCTGCAGGTTCCCCTGCCCCGCCCCAGGGGCCAGAAGACAAGGGCAAGGGCAGTGGCCTTGGGGGCTGTCTCTTGGCCTCTGCCCCCCTTTGACTCTCCACCCTTGAAGTGCTCACGTGGGAGAGGATGTCACTGTGGGTGGGGGGCTGCTCAGGACTCTGCCTGTCATCCGTGCCCCACCCGCATTCCAGGGCTAGGACCACAGAGGGTCATAGAGAGGGTGGGGCCGGCTGTGGTCAGGGGCTTCGCCAGATGTCTCCTTCGCCTCTGCCCCCAACGTGCTCACCTGCCCCAACGCCTCCTTCATGGACCTCACTGAGATCGTATCACGTATTGAGCCTGCCAAGGTGGCTGCAGCAGATGGTGAGTTGGACCCCGGGCCATATGCCCACACAGCTGAGGATGGTAGTGGCAATGTCCCCTCCTGACCCTTGACACTCTCAATAAGCCACCCTGGCCACCAGGCTCCCTCTAGCAGCCCCTGGCCCTGGTAGGCTGCATATGGGGACCCATGCCGGCCCCTGCCCCTGCTCTCAAGAGGATACCTGCATGGCCCTGCTCTCTGCCCAGATGAGTCTGACCACCAGACCGAATACAAGGAGGTGCTGCTGGGCAGCCCCAGCCGACCTGGGCTCCGACTCAGTGAGCTGCCCGGACACCCTGTGCTCCCCAGCTGAGCTGCCAGCTCCAAGGGCTCCAGAGCAGGCCAGCTGCTCCCTCCCTGCTGCCCTCCTGGCTTGCCCCCACCGTGACCTTGGCCGTGTGTGCGGTTTGCTTCCAGGAGGACGAGCCCTCGCTTCGGCATCGGTACTCCCGTCTGGCTTCCCCTGAACCATCCCAGGACTCCTCGCCCCCCTGGCCCTCTGACCAAGATGGGTAGAGGTCTCTGCTCTGATGCACCCTGCAGCCAGCAGCTCCTGTGGGTGGGTTTCAGAGAACCAGCTGGCGCAGCTCCTGCAGCTCTTCCCCAGCCTGCCAGGGAGAGCCTGCTGGGGCCCAGGGCCCTGCCGGCCGGTGTTGGAGTGTCTGGGGCCTCTCTGCGCCGGCCGCTCCTGGTGGGGCACTGGGTCCTGGCATCCCCTGCACACACAGCAGTCCTGGGGGGCTGTGTCGGCCCCTGCGGGCCCCCTGAGGCCTCTGAGATGTCAGAGCCCCTGATGCTTCTGCTTAGCCTGTCAATAAAGGTAGATCTGATTGTGTGGGACATGTGGTCCCTGTGCCGAGGTCCCCCGGGGAAGGGGGCAGCACCAAGATGGGCAGCCCCACAGTCCTGAGGCTGCAGGGCGGAGTGGTCACCATGCGGGGACCCCAGGACCCCAAGCCAGGCAGGCAGGACACCCAAGGTCTGGGGTGCAGCTGGGATCCCCCCAAACCAAGGATGAGGCCCTCCCGAGCTCTCAGGCATTGTTTCCATTCTGTACACACAAGAGTCTTCCCTAAGATGATGCCCACACCTTACTTTTCAGATCATTAAATAGCGCCAGGGGGGTCCTTTTGTACAAAAAAGGAGACCTGTCAGCTCTATGACTTTGGAGTCCACGATCCCTGCAGGTCTCGGAGCAGGGCACATGGGTCTGCGAGAGCAGGGAGACCCTTGACCGGAGGGCCCAGGACCCTGAGGTCGGGGGACCGCAGGCCTCAGTTTCCCAGCTCCAGAGGCAGCTTTGAGAGGGCGGAGAGATGGTTGGTCCCGCCCCCTGCCGCCCAACCCGGCCCTCCGGCCCCCCGCCCCCCCACCTACTGCCGGTGTGGTGGGCGAGGCTTCAGCGTAGTCCCTTCTGGGCCCCGCCCGGCTCTGACGTTACGGTGGGCGGAGCCTTCCTCGCCCTGCTTTGGCTGTGGACGGCCCGGCCCTAGCCCTGACGTAACGGGGGCGGCCCCGCCGAGCCCCGCCCCTTCCCTGACGTCGCGGTGGGCGGAGCGCCACCCCCGGGCCTGGCAGTGCTGTTCGGTGCGGCGGAGCGCGCGGAGTGATCGGCGCGGCCATGCGGAAACCGAACCCGAGCCCAAGCCTGAGCCCGAACCCGAGCCCGATCTCCGGCGCGGCGCGGCTCCCCCGACGGAGGCGACGGGCGCGGGGCGCGCTCTGAGGCCTGGGGATGCGCCGCCGCCTCGACCATGGGCGCCGTCGCCTCCCGGAGGAGGGCGCTGCGGAGCGAGGCCATGTCCTCGGTGGCGGCCAAAGTGCGGTGAGTGCGGCGGACCGACCGCCGGGGCCAGCGGCGCCCCCGCCCCCGCAGCGTGATCGCAGCCGGCGCCCCGCCCCCACCTCCGTGCGGTTCCCTTCCCTGAGGCTGCGGTGGGCGAGCTGCACGACCTCACGACCCTCACATACACTGGGTGGCAGGGGCTGGATGGAAAGCAGACCTGGGCCCAGGTCTGGCCAAGGTGCACCGACACCCAAGGGTCCCCGAACTGCGACCTGCCAGCCCTGGGCATTCTGAGGTGGGATGGGAGTGCTTGCTGGGGGTGACCCCTGAGCCCTCCCTTGCTGGCGCCGAGGGCCTGGGTGGGGTGGGGACGCCAGGGTGGGTGGTGTGCACTGACGGCGCACCCCGCTGTCCACCCCTCAGAGCAGCCCGAGCGTTTGGCGAGTACCTGTCCCAGAGTCACCCCGAGAATCGAAACGGTGCAGGTAAGGGCACGTGAGACAGTGCCGGGACGGGGTCCACCCACAGCCCCCCATCCTAGGCGAGAGGATGCTGTCTCCTGTCCAGGTCAGGCCCAGCCCCTGCGCACTGTGGGGCGTGAGCAGGCAGCTAGTGCCCTGCTGGGCTGGCTTCCTCACGCCCCCTGCCCCGCCTGGCCCAGAGCCCCAGGAGGAGCTCCGAGTCACTCATCACCACGGCACCCACCCAGCTTGGGCTGTTGGCATGGCAACAGGCCTCCTGGCACCCCCAGGACTGGCACCACTGTCTCTGGGGGCCAGCTGGTAGGGAGGAGGGGAGAAGTTGGCACTGGGCACATGGGCGTGGTGGCAGGCTGGGAGGTGGCCTGCTTGTTTCTGGCCCCACCCCATCACCCACAGGTAGCACAGCCTGTCGCCCACACGCACGTAAGAGGGGCTTGGGGCCCCGATAGGCGTGAGACGTGAACCTCTAGGGGGAGTGCGCAGCTCAGAAATACCTCTTCTGAAGTCATCAGGGCCCACGGTTCGTTCAGCGGGCCAGGCACCAGCTGGGTATTCATTCCCTGCCTTCAGAACACCCGGAGACTGGGAGGGCAGGGCCAGCAGGCCGCAAGCTCACCTGGTGCCTCTCCCCCAGACCACCTGCTGGCTGACGCCTACTCTGGCCACGACGGGTCCCCCGAGATGCAGCCTGCCCCCCAGAACAAGCGCCGCCTCTCCCTCATTTCCAACGGCCGCTATGAGGACAGCCTCCCGGAGGAGGCCGTCAGTGGGAAGCCGGCCGGCGAGGGCCCCCAGCCCCGTGTGTATACCATCTCCGGGGAGCCGGCCCTGCTTCCCGGCCCGGAGGCCGAGGCCATCGAGCTGGCTGTGGTGAAGGGGCGGCAGCAGCGGGAGCGGCACCCCCGCCACCATAGCCAGCCCCTGCGCACCAGCCCGGGCGGCAGTCGTGAGGACGTCAGCAGACCCTGCCAGAGCTGGGCGGGCAGCCGCCAGGGCTCCAGGGAATGTCCTGGATGTGCCCAGCTCGCCCCCAGTCCTTCCCCTCAGGCCTTTGGGCTGGACCAACCGCCTCTGCCTGAGGCCGCCAGCCGCCGCAAGAAGCTGGAGAGGATGTACAGCGTTGACCGTGTGTCTGGTGAGGGGGCTCGCTGGGGGCCTGGGCAGCTTCAGGCAGGATGCTGGTGCTGGGGTCGGCCAGCCAGCAGCGAGCACTGTGAGGCTTGGGCAGAGCAGGGTGCCCAGGTCACGGCCTGCAGGTGGCGACCTGCCGCCACATCCCGTGCCCCACCTCAGGCCTCATGGTTGGCTTTAGCCTTGCCAGCACCAAGTCACCGGAGGAGTGCTTCCCCGAGGAGGGGGCCTGGGAGGGTCTTAAGGGTTGAGCAGGTAGAAAACCTGGCTGAACGGGAAGATCGGGCTGCCTCCAGGGAGTCCTGGGGAACAGTCCCTGCCCTGGGGCCCACTCACCAAGGGAGGCGCATGATTGCCTGGGGCCCAGCCAGCTAGTGGGGCTCGCCCCAGGATGGTCAAGCTGTGCCGGTGGCTGCGGAGCCCCGGAGGCCTGCTGTCGGCAAGAGGCCTCCCTGGGACGTTCAAGTGGCCCCACGCTTCCTGGCTCTGAGGTTGTCATCTCCTGAGAGCAGAATTCTACCTAGCAGACCTGGCACGTCCTCTCAGGGCACCTCTTGGGCCTCCAGATCAGCAACCCAGCTGGGCCTCAGGGCACAGGCCTGGGGTGTGGGCAGTTCACCTCCACGACCTCATGTTCCTCTGATGCACCCAGGCCAGGGGCTGGGACGGGGGTCAGGGAAGAGAGTAGAGCGACCCACTCTGTCTACTGGCTGTAGGGGCCCTGGGAAGGGGCGGTCTCCACCTCGCCCTCCGAGAAGGGTCTGGGAGAGGGGAGGTCCAACCAAGTGGACGCCAGAGTGGGCCGCAGAGAAGGCACTGGAGACCCCAAGGAGAGGCTGCAGCCATTTGTCCCTGCCCTTCCCCTCCTGCTTAAATGGAGACAAAATCAATCCTTTCCCTGGGCACCCTGGAGGCAGGCTGTGCTCTCAAAAGAACACTCGTCAGCTGTGGGTAGCAGAGGGAGAGCCAAGCAAAGACAAGCGTCACCAAGCCGCTGAGCTGTTGTGCCTTGAAGAGCTGAGCGGACACCCAAGCCTGCTGGCTCTGCGCCGGCCTCCCGACCTGGGAGGCGGCTGGGGAGCCCTGGCGCTTCTCCTCCACCGTCTGTGGCAGAAGCATCCCCTTCCCTGACAGGTGGGGGTAAAGGCTTCAGGAACCCCTGAGCCAGCCTAGTCACTGCTCCTTTGGTCTTTTCCAGATGACATCCCCATCCGTACCTGGTTCCCCAAGGAAAACCTCTTCAGTTTCCAGACAGCAACCACAACTATGCAAGCGTGAGTCCCGTCTGACGTGTGCCGGGCCCAGGCCGGGCGCCGCCTTCCTGGTGCTCAGGAATTACTGCCGGACCCTCTCCCGTCCTGAGCCCACCTGCGTGGCTGCTTCTGAGCAGCCCCGTGTGCCGTGTACCGCCAGCTCTGCCTGAATGTGTCAGCCTGAAGGAAGGCAGGCCTGGCTGCTCTGAACTCCCGCTGCCCCTCCCCCGCCCCACCCCTTCCCCACTGCCCTGTCCCTCAGTCCCTCCAGTCCGTCCATCCTGTCCTGCGGGGACCTGGCTGGGGGCTGCAGCTGATGCAGCCACCAGCAGAGGTGGTTCGCTGCCCTGTGTCACCCAGCTCCGCCTTCACGCACGCCCCAAACAGCGGCCCGCTTGTGTTTCGTGTGTTGCAAGCGATCACAACTTAGTCCCCTGGGGGCGTGCTCTTGACCTTCGCACAGCTGGGTGTTCTGTCAGGGCTTCCTTTCAGGGAGGGACTCTGCTGCAGTGTCCCCGATACCAGAAGCTTCCTCCTGCGTGTGCTACCCTGGGGAGCGCACCACCGCCCTTGGGCCGGATGGGGGCCGCTACCTTCACTGCTGGACCCAGGGTCGGCAGGGCACAGTCAGGCCTCTGTGCGGCCTGACAAGGTCACAGCATCTGGTGGCCTGGGCCACGGTGACTTCCGCGTCTGCTGCCCTTGCAAGGGCTGGCCTGCGGCATAGCCGGCACCCTGCTGGTGCCTGTGTGCCTGTGAGGGATCCTCCAGGTCAATGACAAGAAAGGAACTAACTGAAGGGCGGTTGGGGGTCTGAGGGTCTCTGCTCACTGTGTCTTCTCTCTCACGCTGCCCCTTCCCGCCTCGACTCTAGCATCTCGTAAGTACCGTGTGGACCTCGAGCCTGAGGGCATGGCGGTTGTCCCTGGGGGACTCTCCCACCCCCAAGTAGGTTGGGGCAGGCCAGGGACCTGGGCCTTGACCATGAGGGCGTGCTGGGTCCCAGCGAGCGCCAAGGCTACAGCAGGGCCTGCGGAACTGGGCCGAGGACAGGGCGAGGCAGGCCAGGACCTTCTGCCTGGCCCAGCGCCCTGGATGCCCCGCTGGGCCCTGTGCTCGAGCCTCTGTCCCCACGTCTCTGTCCCTCTTGCCTGCGGCCAAGGGCAGTGCTGACTCGTGGTGGTTTCCCAGGGTGTTCAGGGGCTACGCGGAGAGGAAGCGCCGGAAACGGGAGAATGATTCCGCGTCTGTAATCCAGAGGTAGGGCCTGCCAGCCACTCGCCACCAGGGTCCGTCTCTTGTCTGTCCTGGTCTAGCCTGGGCCCACCCAGCTCAGCAGACCTGATGGGGGAAGGGCGGTGGCGAACACTGGCCTGGCCCTGCTCTGGGGACGCGGCAGGCAGGAAAGGTCAAGTGGCCTGAGCCCCTAGGCCTGTGTTTTGGGGGTACAGTGACAGCTGAACTGCAGCCAGCTGGCCCCCCTGTGCCTTTTTCTGGCCCTTGAAGCCCGGAGCAGTGGGGTCAGCAGCCAGGCTTACCCTCCCTAAACCCCACCCACCTCAGAGATGTGTCCAGGAAGCTTGTCTGTCCATCTTGGAAGTTGGGCTTTGGCAGGGCACAAAGTTTGGAGTGAAGGAGACCTGCTTCTGAGGTGGCCCAGGGACACAGCAGCAGGGGAGGGGGCAGCTGCCAGCCCCTAACCCACCTCCCGCTTGGGGACAGTTGTGCTGCCCTGGCCACCGTGCGCAGGAAGCAGGAGCCCTTGACCACGGGGGGCGGGAGGCTCTCGGGGTTCAGAGCACCTGGGCGCAAGGAGAGAAGGGAAGCGTGGGCAGCGAAGGTGGGAGACCCGAGTGCACAGGGTCGCCGAGGGAGCTGTCCTGGGAGGGGGTGGGGCTGCAGGAGAAGGCTGGCTTATCGTGCCTTTGTACTGGCAGCAAAGGGGGAGCCCGGGAGGAGTCTCAGGAGGAGAGGGACTGGGTGGGATTTGCCTGTGGGAGAGCTGGGGGCGCCGGGAGGGCATCCCTCACGGCAAGGGGCAATGTTGGGACGGTGGCCAGCAAGCAGTGGGGAGGGGAGCGCGTGGGACGGGGCGCCACCCTCGCGGCCCTCACCAGCCCCCGGTGCTTCCGCCCCCAGGAACTTCCGCAAACACCTGCGCATGGTCGGCAGCCGGCGGGTGAAGGCCCAGAGTAAGGCCCGGGAGCGGCGCGGGCGGGCGGGCGGGCGGGCGGGGGCGCGCTGTTCTTGGCCGGCTGGGGCTTTGCGTGCTGCTCTCTGCGCCCCAAAGGCCCGCGTCCCCAGGCCCCGCTGCAGCCCCGCGGGCGGGCACCTTCCCACTCCCAGGCTCCGCCCCAGGACAGGGCCCCGCCCCTGCACTCAGACTCCGCCCATGTCCACCTAGCACTGTCCTTGTCCAACGTCGACCCTCCGCACTCCCCACTCCCGCCCCTCCCGCCGCAGTGGCGTCCTCCACTCTCCGGACCCCCTCACGGTCCCCACGTCCTCCCCAGCCAGCCCCTGTCCCTGTCCACCTCGTGTGGCTGCAGGCCCCGCCCCTAACGGGTTCTGCTTTCGCTGCAGCGTTCGCCGAGAGGCGCGAGCGGAGCTTCAGCCGGTCCTGGAGCGACCCCACCCCCATGAAAGCCGACACTTCCCACGACTCCCGAGACAGTAGGTGCCCGGCGGCGCAGGCCAGCGCACCTCTCCCAGAGGCTCCCCTAGGCCCCAGTTCTGCGCTCCCACCCCGGGGGAGCAGCTAGGCTTCTGCGCCTTTGCTGAGCCTCAGTTCACCAGACTGGGTGCGGGGGGCGCTCTGGCACCTCCGATTTTCTGGGCAGGGGTAACTAAGGGCTGCGGCTCGCTGGCTGCCCTGGCCTGGTGCCGCCCTCATGCCCGAAGCCTGAGGAGCAGTGCCAGACTCCTCCTTGGCCCAGGCGACAGGCGCACCTGGCTGGAGCTGACCCTTGCCCTCCGGCTCCCACTGGCCTTGCACCAGGGTCCACCGCCTTCCAGCCGCCAGCCTTGTCAGGCTGCTGGGGTCCTCAGCTTGGCGCTCTCACCCACCCTGGGTTTCCCCCTGACCTGGAGGACCCTCTGGGACAGGGCTTGCTGGCTCTGGCCTCCACGCATCTCTGGGGGTTGCAGCCGGGACAGGAGGCGCTGCAGCTGACCCTCAGGCCCGTGGCACATCCTGCCCTACAGGTAGTGACCTGCAGAGCTCGCATTGCACCTTGGGTGAGGCCTTTGAGGACCTGGACTGGGAGACGGAGAGGGGCCTGGAGGCTGTAGCCTGTGACACTGAGGGCTTCGTGCCACCCAAGGTCATGGTGAGGCCCCACACAGCTGTTGCAGGCTGCTCAGCAGTGGGGAGGGGGGTCTCAGGGGGGCTCCTGCTGCCCACTGGCTCCCAGGCGGCCAGGGCACTGAGTGGCCCCCTTGTTGTTCCCAGCTCATCTCCTCTAAAGTGCCCAAAGCTGAGTACATCCCCACCATCCTCCGCAGGGACGACCCCTCCATCATTCCCATCCTCTACGTGAGTGCCTGCCCAGCCCCCATCGCGGTGTTGGGTGGGGGGTGCTGCCTGAGAAGGGCTCTGACGTGGGGCTGGCTTCCATCTGTCCCAGGACCACGAGCACGCCACCTTCGAGGACATTCTGGGTAAGTACTCCGCCCTCCCCCACCCCGCCCTCTGGTCTTGGGGCTGCTGGGGGCGGCACTCACACCTCTGCCTCCTGCAGAGGAGATAGAGAAGAAGCTGAACGTCTACCACAAGGGGGCCAAAATCTGGAAGATGCTGATTTTCTGCCAGGTAGGGCTCAGCCCTTCCTGCCCAGGGGTGGGGGGTGGAGGGTGCCACCTCCCTGGGCATGCACGTTTGCATCTGCACGTGTTGAGGGCAGCGGTGGTTGGACACCGGTGCGCGGCCCCGTCTGCCAACTGCAGTCTCTCACAGGGCGGCCCAGGACACCTGTACTTGCTCAAGAACAAGGTGGCCACGTTTGCCAAAGTGGAGAAGGAAGAGGACATGATCCAGTGAGCTGGGGGGCTGGGGGGCTGGGTGCAGCACCTGCTGGGGCACCGTGTCCCCGCAGTGCCTCCTGTGATGCTCCTCACACCTGGGGGTCGGGCTGGAGGCCACCTGTGACCACCCCTCCCCCACCAGCTTCTGGAAACGGTTGAGCCACTTGATGAGCAAAGTGAACCCGGAGCCGAACGTCATCCACGTCATGGGCTGCTACGTCCTGGGGAACCCCAACGGGGAGAAGGTATGGGGCCCAGACCCCAGACCTGTGAAGGGTTGGTAGAACCCCCATTTCTCTCCAGATTCCCTTTCCCTTCTCCTCCCAGAGAAACCCCCATGCCTGGGCCTAACCAGCTGGGGGCGTCCTGTCCCCCACCCCCCATTCTCCTCATCCCTCTCTCTTCCCCTGCCCTGAGCTCATGGCCCACCCCCTCTTTTCAGCTGTTCCAGAACCTCAGGACTCTCATGACCCCTTACAGGGTCACCTTCGAGTCCCCCCTGGAGCTGTCAGCCCAAGGTGAGTTTGCCGGGCTGGTCCCCAGTTGTGGGGTGGGTTCCCGGGGGCGGTGGCCTGAGCCCCGGCCTCGCCCCTCCTGCCTCAGGGAAGCAGATGATCGAGACCTACTTTGACTTCCGGCTATACCGCCTGTGGAAAAGCCGCCAGCACTCGAAGCTGCTGGACTTTGAGGACGTTCTGTGAGGGGCGGGTCCACCACCCGGCCGCTTCCTCGGACCAGCGACGGGGGCTGGGCCGCTGTGTGCTGCCCAGTACCGTGTGGGTCTTGGTCTTCACGGCCACTTCAGGGCACCCTCAGACGTCGCTCAGGTTCCCTCCCAGGGGTCTGCTCCTCAAGGCATCACGGGTCAAAGAGGTCCCAGCCCCCGCGCCTGGGAGGAGCCACCGCGGCCGGTGGATGTTGACCGGGTCTAGGCCTCGGCTGGAGGCCGCAGCTCTGGGGCGGTTCCTGTGCAGGGTCATAGAAATAAGTGCAATTTTCTACAACCCCCGAGACGATTCAGAGGGAAGCAGCATCACTGGTTAACTAGTTAAGTGCTACGTTACTAGTAACGGCGTAGACCACCCGGCTCAGCGTGTGTTCAGGACCTTGTCTGCCCCAGCGCCCCAGCCCTGCCGTATCTGATCACCAGCACCAGGGCGGCCCGCCTGCCCGGCCTGGCTCCGTCCCTGGCCGAGTCCCTGATCGTCTGTGCTCGCGCTGCTCTCGCCACCCCGCTTACCTGGCCTCGGCCGCGCCGGCTCGGCAGGGGTGCCTGGGCAGCAGCTGGGGGGCACACCTTCCTTTCTTTCAGAGCGGGCCCTGCCTGCTCCCCGGCCTCCCAGGCCCGCCCAGCTCCCTGCTGCTGTCCAGCTCAGCTTTTGGCGGCCGAGTTCTGAAGGCCTCTCCTAGTGCAGAGCCCTGGGGTCTCGGCGGGGCCTGCTGGGGCTGGGTCCTGGTGGGTGAGAACCCTGCTGCACTCCACGTAGGGGCCTGGACCCTGCAGCCGGGGCCTGAGAGCTGGGCGGCCGGTGTGCTGTGGGCTCGAAGCCTGGCCCGTGGCCCAGTGGGTGGGCTCTCTTGTACATAGCTGGGGCTCGGGGGCTGGCCCCCCTTTGCAGAGCCTGGTCTGAAACACCTGGCTGTGCCCCCAGCCAAGGGGGGGCGGGGGCTGAAAAATGTACGACTTTCCTTAGAGTGACCATTAAATCTGATTCTCTGCTGCGGCTGCCGCGTGGGTCTCCTCTCTCAGCACCCACCGTCCACTGCCTCCCTGGGCCCAGAAGATTCTGGGCCCGCTGGTCTGAGGTTGTTGCTGTGGTGGCCGCCTGCACATCCTGGCCTGGAGCAAGGGGGCTGGAGCGGCTAGGCCTGCCCTGCCAAGGGCACACTCTGCGAGAGGTCTGGGGATGGGACTCCCAGGGCTCCGGGGAAGCGTCTGGGGAAAGGGCAGGTCCTTGACACGGCTGCAGGATGTGGTCCTGCAGAGGAGCCAGGTGAGGTCGGGAGATGAGGGCAGAGACACCCTCCTCCTGCAGCCTCTGCCCCACTCCCGGGCACAGAGCGGAGGGCCATTCCTTCCCTCAGGCCATTCTCTGCATGTGGTCAGCAGTGTGGCCAAGCTAGGAGGTGGCTAGGAGGTGACCACAGGACCAGCTGGCCATCACTAGCCTTAGTCATCTCCAGATGTGCCCATTGCCACCACCCTCCCCTCCAGTGGCCAAGGTGCTTTGGGGTCCAGCCAGGCTTGGCTACCCTGGTGGCTCCTGGTTCAGTTGCCTGTGGGCAGATCAGCAGGTGCCAGATGGGTGCATCCAGGGCCACCAAGGGCTGGGGAGGGCGGGGGGCTGCCAGGGGATGGCGTGGGTGAGGGCTGGGGGCCTGGAGGCTGGCAGCCTGGCATCAGGGGGTGCTGCCAGGAGAATTCATGTCCGGAAGAAAGCCCACGCAGGCCACGAGGATAGCTCCCGGCGTGACCCAGCTGCTCTCACCGTGTGCTTCGAAGGCACGATTACCGTGTGACCTGCAGGCCTGACCCCGGGGCTGCCAGAAGCTTTGTCGCGTGCCCCTGCCCCTCCCCCAGACTCTGACGGGGGACCCTGTAGTCGAGGGACTGGGGCTGCGGAAGCAAGTGGGCTTGCCCCAGTCTTCTGGGTCAGCTGCTGTGGGTAAGGGCTGGTGAGGTCCGCCCGTGGGAGGCTTGAGGTCTTGCATCTGGTTCACAAGGTTCCTTCCCTCACACCCCATAAGCACCAACCAGTGTGTTGGAGAAAAGACATGAAGCCCAGTACAAATGAGGAAGGCGTTTTGGGAAAAGAACAAAACCGAGGGGAGGGGTGGCCGACCCGGAGGCAGGCTGGGTGGGGGCGGGGCACGCTCAGGTCTCTGTGGCCTTCCCCGCACACCCAGCCAGCTGGGAACCCGCGGCAGCAGCCAGCGAGGGCTGGGGGAGCAGTATTGGCGACTAGTGCGCGAGGAAAAGGCTTAAGGTCCTTAGCATGTGAGGAGTTTTGATGTATTGACAAGAAAGAGACAAAAGCCAGCAGAGAAAAGTGGGTAAAGGCCTGAACTGACAACTCGCAGAGGAGAAAGTCAAGCGGCCGATGAAAAGCCAGTGAAGGGGAAGAGGTGCTTGCTGCCTGTTTGTTTGGCAAAAATTTAAAGGGTATGAGTCACCCTGTGCTGGTGACTGTGTGGGGAGGAGATCATGTGAATTGCCATAGCCTTATTAGAAAACAGTCTGGGAATAGCTCTTAAAATATAACTGGTAAACACTGAACCAGCACCTCCCACTGGGGCCTTCTGCATGGATGTCCATGTCCCACAATTCACGCCCTTAACTGGGGCAAGGCCAGATCATGTGGACGGCTATCCTGGAAGAGGCAGATTGTTTAAAAGGCTTGTTGAGGGAGAAGTATGGTTGGGCCTGCAAGAGGCCCGAATACTCTCTGTTTAAACTGATGAGGTCAAGCTCACAGTGATGAGGTGTGTTCCGCTCACCCACTGTGACACACACGCCTTTATAATGTCTGATGTCCAGTCCTCACCTCCTGGTGACAACGTGGACAGAGGTGGCCCCGGCCTGCCCTGTCTACCTGTGCTGCTCTCTCCAAGCCTTGCAGTGTGCATGCCCCAGCCTACGTGGCCAGGCTCACCCCCTCAACCCCAAACAGCCACCCCCCGTTACCCCCTGCCCTGGATGTGTGCCCTAGAGGGACAGACCCCACCCTGGGGAGGACAGACTCAGGGCACATCTGCCTTGTCTAGAACCTTCCATCACCATTAGGATGAAACTCAGATCCACTGTTTGCCCTACTATCCGGAAGGGACACGTTGTGCCTACAGCTCCTTTAGGAGGTCTGTGTGGGGGGAAGAGAGTCGCACTTGAATTCCCAGGGAGGGATCTCCAGAGACCAGGATTAGGAGGGAGATCATCAAAGCCACTGTGGAGGCACCCTCCTGCTGGTCCCACCCCACGCAGCTGTCACCCAGACAGGGCCAGGGTCTTTCTGGGGACCCCAGGAAGGCAGTCGTGGACTAGACGTGCTTTATTCATTGGACATGGCTCAAGGGCCAGGAAGGGAGACCCTGGAGGGGGCTGGGAACTAGAGACCTGGAAAGGTCAGGAAAACCACCTGCAAAGGTGTTTATGAGCCCCTGGACCTGCTCCCAGGCCTGTGTGGACCTGACCCAACCAGCGCCCTCAACAGTGGGCCAGCCCATTCCCAGACCCACCACTGGGGGCGCAGCTAAAACCCCAGCATTCTCCATAGGATGGAGGCAAGACCCCAGTCTCAGAGTGGAATTCAAAGTACTAGAAACCAGAAGAACTGTGGCACTTGCAGAACCATGAAGAGCTTGACCAGCAGGTACCAAGGATGAGAAGACACAGGTGTTGAAATTATCTGACAAAGACTTGGTAGAGCTGTTGTAAAGATGCTCACATGAGCTGTTGATCTAAAATAATAAAACAGCCAGTTACTTTACCAGCAATATGGGTTTATTGGGGAACAGTAAAGAACTGGAATTCAGGACAAGCAGTCTAAGGTGAACCACAAGCAAGTGCAGAGAACAAGGGAGCAGAAACCCTTTTATAGAGGAGAAGGTGGGGTTGGGAGGGGCTGTTCTAAACAAAGTGTCAGTTGGAGGAAACGGAGTTCGCAGTGTGGTGGCTTTTCATTGGCTGAACTGTGATGGTCTCTCATTGGCTGGGCTGTTGCTGGGCGGGGAGAAAATCTTCCTTTCTCCTGCTGGGTAGTAAGTAGTAATCTTCCTGTTGGGCCTGCAATTGAGACTGCACGGTAGGCCGTGGGCGCTCCCCCTTCTGGCCTCCTGTTAAATAAGGTTTCTGTTAATTAATTTCCACGTTTCTCCTTTTTGATCAAGATTTTTCTCTGAAAGCATTGCTTATCAAAAATCAGTTTTTTGGGCTTCCCTGGTGGCGCAGTGGTTGGGGGTCCGCCTGCTGATGCTAGGGGACACGGGTTCGTGCCCCGGTCCGGGAGGATGCCACGTGCCGCGGAGCGGCTGGGCCTGTGAGCCATGGCCGCTGAGCCTGCGCGTCCGGAGCCTGTGCTCCGCAACGGGAGAGGCCACAGCAGTGAGAGGCCCGCGTACCGCAACAACAACAGCAACAAAAAGATCAGTTTTTTATGGATTCAGTGACTTTTTGTCCATCATTGCCAGGGAGGACCTTTCCTGGGTACCGTGTCCCTCGTGGAAGGGAGAGTGCACAGATTGGAAACCTCTTGAGGTCACATTCAAGTAACAAGGAGGGGTAGGAGGGAGATCTCTCAGGAATTTCCCATCTAAAGTCTGTGTCTTAGAATAGTGAATACAGCAAGGGAACAGTCAACACAGAAAGAAGTAAGCACTTTGAGAAGGCACAGTGCAGGAATAAACATGAAGCCGTAGCTGATAAATTTTCCCCCAAATAGCAAAACTTCAAGGACTTTTAATTTATTTATTACAATTGAAGTATAGTTGATTGACAGTGTTGGGTTATCAAAGACTTATTCAT